TTGTGCACCTAAGGTTTTCTTTACTTTTTATTTTATTTTATCAATGTTATTTATTGTTTCAACGTTCAGGCCAGTAATATTCTATTATTCTGTACATTATTGTTATTCTGAAGGGACTTAGTCCCAGAATAAAGTTTTTTTTTCTATCTATCTATCTATCTATAAACATTTCAAAGAGGTCAATAGCATGCTAAGAAGACAGTAAATTCATTTAAAGTTATTAACATTCTTTCTACACCTTGATGGTAAACTAAATCTGCCATAAATGCAATTTTACAACAAATTAATGTTGATAGTCATAAGTAGCAAACTAAGAAGATTACACATAAATATTATAATAGTATCCCATAAAATATTTTTAGCATGTAATATCACTTTTTATACTTCTTGTTATGAACATGAAACTACCACAAACATAATCATACAATACATTACTAAACATAGTCATTAAGAGCAATAATAATACACATAACATTTCTGCCATAAATATTTTTTTTATATTTCTTAATGACATTTACAACTGTATTAAATAAATACATCTAGTCAATTTGGACATATTAGATATAATGGCAAGAATACATTTGCTGAGTAACTACCCAATGGTAGCACTCTAATGATATGACTACATTAGGAGATCACGGGGCCATCTTCTTTTCAGACACCTCGGAGGGTTATCAGGAATTGATGAGGAAGCAAGGATATAAACGAGAGGGTTGGGATGATTCTGAAGTTTATTATGGAAGAATAGGTATCTGGATTGGGCCAGATCTGAAACATAAGGAACATTAAGGTCTTTATGGATAATTTTATTAGTGACAAAGTAAGGAGCATTGAGGATTTTATGAAGGATTTTGGATTGCAAGGATTGGATGCGAGAGGAATTCGATGGTTTAGTGGAGCCCAAATAGGTCTTATTATAGTCAAGTATATGAGTCTTTTGTAATTAATGGGAAGTTTAGAGCGTTTGTCTAGTAAGTGCTGAAGTAATCGGAAACGTTGAGCGGTTTCTTGTCGTTTCAGTCTAGCATGAGGATTCCAAGTTAGTCGTTTGTCCAGCTGGAGTCCTAGGTATCGGATTTGCTCAACAGGGATAAGTGGAGTATTGTTAAAGGAAACTGTAGGACAGGCAGTCTTTGGTTTACGAGCCATAAGTATAAGTTAAATGGTGAAAAATATCAGCATAAATACAAATACTGTTTAATACCTCCAACAATTAGAGGTTCACATGCACATTCAAAGTAAAAATCTCTTAAAAACATCTTCATTTTCCCAATTCGTTGGTTTTACTAAAAATGAGATCTCTCCAAAAGAAATAATATATGTGATTAATGCAATCTCCAGCAGTATGTATCTGATCTGTTCTCAGTCCAAGTTCACCCCACTGAGCTGCATAGACATAGCTATGTTGACACTCAGGATGTGCTACACCATCAAATGTATTACACTGGTAGTACATTGAAATGGAGTTCCTCTATTCATGAGGTACTCCTGTGTGGTTATTGTGTATCATATCTCAAATCAAGTTAATATTATTTCATTCTTCTTTCAACAAGAAGTCCATAAAGAAGTCCATTTGACACAACATAGAGTTGTACTATTCTTAATTTTGTCTTACTTTAAAGAAAATTTACTATTATTTCACATGGACTTTTTTTTTTTTTATCCAACAATTATTTCTTAGGTAAATCCATTAATTACAAAAAGTTAAATTACTTATGTACATTGGAAATGGTGAGGAAGTTATACTGATCCAACTTGGTATATTTTTAATTTTCTTGTTAGTTACTTTTTTAAATTTTTGATAAATGTAGACTTTATTCTATAATGTGATTATTATGACATGTTTGAAGAAATTTTAAATAAATTATCAAATGATTTTTTATTTATTGTCAGTAATTTTTTCTCTCACAACGCGCCTACCTGCCTTTATCCTCTGGAGTTGCCCAAGGATCTAGCATATCTCCTCTCCTTTTTAGTTCCTATATTAATGACCTCCATGACTCAATTATCCATTGTTCCCACCACATTTATGCAGACGATTCTCAAATATACCTATCCTTTTCTCCCCCTGAGCTATTGGTGGCATTTGCTAAGATCCAAGCAGACCTAGATCGAATCTGTGCCTGGGCAAACTTAAACGGATTAAGGTTAAATGCTTCAAAAACTTAGGCAATTGTCATTAGTTCCAAAGCATCCTTAGATCCTATACCGACTTTCATATACTAAACCTTGGTGACCAGCCAATCTCCTTCTACCCCTCTGTAAAAAATTTAGGACTATTTATTGATCAAACCCTCTCCTGGAGTCACCACATTTCTCACATCTACCCTCAAACTATTCCATCGCTTCCGCCATCTCCTACCTCAACATACGCGTAGACTCCTCGTTTCCTCTCTCATCTTCCCCTACTTTGACTACAGTTGTGTGGTGTATGATGGACTCTCGGTGGAGCTCCATAAAAGACTGAAAAGAATAATGAACAGTTGAATAATGAACAGTGAGATTTGTAATTGGTGCCCCGAGATACTACCATGTCTCTCACCACTACACTGAGTTAGAGTGGCTCTTCCCCTCCATTCGAAGACAATATTTCCTAGGTACATTCCTCTATCATATCATCAACAATCATCGTCCTTCCTACGCCTACAATCTTCTCCAATTCAAGTCCTCAATCCACTCCCTCTCCACAAGATCTCGACCTTCCGACCTTTACATTCCTTCTCACAGATCTGCCTCGTTCCAAAACTCCTTTATTGCTCTGTTAATTTTTTGAATTCCCTTCCTATCAAAATCCGACATTCTTTATCCCTATCTACATTTAAAAGCCTCCTATTCCAATTCCTGTTCCAAAAACCGTCAGATACCAGCTAACCTTTTATGTAAAATTACAGATTTTTATTATTTATTTTTTTTTTTCAACAGAAAAACAGATTTTACTGTTAAGAAGAATTTACATTTATTTTTTTTTTGTATTCTTTCTAAAAGGGTTAATTTATATTTTACCATTGTACATCTTAGTATGGTTTCAAGAGTTTTGTATATAGATTATTTTATTTTATTTTATTTTGTATATATTATGTCTAACTAATATTTTTGTTTTTGTTTTTTTACTGATTTATCTTTGTCTTTACTTTTTATGTTTGTTTTTATCTGGCCAGATGTAAAATTTTAATTTCTGTACTTTTTTGTTATTCTGAAGGGACGTCGTCCCAGAATTATTTTCTATTCTATTCTAATTTTTTCTAGATTATTTATATATTATCAATACTATTCATTCAGGTTTGTATAATTTAACATTAAGAATAAAAATAAACTAGCTGATGTACCTATCGTTGACGGGTGTATAGTTAAAATTTGAGAATCTTTTTTTGAAATGGATTTTGTACTGTGAGGGAAGAGATACAAATTTAACTTCATAAAATTGGTTTGGGAGTTGTTTTGAAATTTTTTATCGGGGGCTTATGGAAGTCAAGGTTTCGCAGTCATAATAAAAACATTGCTATTCGGCTATTTGTTTATGTACCACACAACTAAACCGACCACCACCGATCCACTAAATTTTTTTTAAGTGTTTAATTTTCATTTATGATGAAGCGAGGAGATTGTGGAGTCGATTGAAATAATCAAAATGAGTTTTAGTCTTTCCACTTTTTTATTTGTATAAAAAACAGCAAAGCAATTTTTTGTTTAGTTTTTCTTTCCAATTTCCGGCTAATCCGTTTGGTTAACCCTAAAATTGTATACGACAACATCTGTTAGACTCGGAAAGTAGAATTAAATGACATCTTGAACGGCAATATCGGACAAAGTTAAAAAATGAGTGTGTTTTAAGAGACGTTTTACAGATGTTCGGGATTTCGGATTTTTCCCGTTGAGTTGTGATAATTTTTTTCATCAGTTGAATATTACAACTTTTAAATGTGGCGCACTCTAGAATAGGTTGGGATGAGAATCGAAGTAACTGCCTAACCGGGATCTCTAAACAAATTACTCAAGAATTCATAACTTTGGTTCTATTCAATATTTTGCTTTCATCAAAAGCTATGTTTTAAGTCAAAGAAACTTAAATATACTGTCAACATTTCAAAAGTCTAACATTAGCCATTGCTGAGCTTACCCCTGACAAAATTTCATTGGACAATGCGAACATACAGACAGATATTTTTTTTTTTAAGTGGCATTGTAATGTATGAAACGGAAAGACATAATGAAATGGGTTGATTCTATTCAATGTAGAGACAAAGTCTTTATTTTATTTATATAGATATTTATTTATTTTGTGATTGATGCCTCTACAACCAAGAATTAGTAACAAAATGTCAAATAATTAAATTCTATTAAAATATTTCGTCAATTTAAACATTTAAATGTATATACATACATTCTTAATAGTCCCACATCCACTGGGAAAAGCTTCTGGAGATAACCCTCACTAATCTGAATAAGAGTGACTCTATTCCATGTAAATTAACATAAATCGTGATATGGTTTTCAAGGATGTCAACAGCTCCCAGATTTGATCCATGGATAGTCTCTTTCAGGGAGAATAATATTGGTCATCATACACTTGCTGTCTGAGCAGCCATAATCTATGAATCTAGACCGATATGTCACTGTCCCTGAATCCCAGGAGTCGGTAAGGATACTGCAAGATTATGAACTTAAAGGCTAAGGATCTATGAATGGGAGTGGTAGGGCACTGAGCTTCCAATGCAAAAGGTCCCAGTTTCGAACCCTGGCTCATGGCAGAGAATTTATTTATCTGTTTCATTGACCGTGGGGTGACCCTGGGTTGGAAGTTCCTCCTGGGGCACACCCAGCCTCTATAAAAGTGGGTACCCTTAATTAAATAATTGATTAAGGGGGAAAACCTGGTGGTTGAGCGTGATCTTGGCCAAATCACCTCCTTCCACAACCGTTCACCTAGAAACAGTACTTTCCCTAAATAGTACTGAACCCCAGACCCTTCATGGGTTGTAGTGGTACAGGTTTTTTTTTTTAAGGATCTATGAATGACCTGCCGCTACAACATGGAAACCATCCTGTCGAACCACAGCTGATGTAACAATTCAGAACTAGTTTGAGATAAATTTATAATTACATTATACATCTTCAATATGCTTGAACATCAATGGCCGTTTCTCATCTGGGGCTGGTTTATTGTATAAAAATATAGATCCTATAACGAGTGCAGCGCCTGTTGTTAGTAAGATAGTTATTCTAAAGTTAAATAAAAACACAGAAGCTAAGGCACTGATTATAATGGCGAGGGACGTTGCGAACCCCTTGAGAATATTATCTGCGTGTTTGAGAACTAAGAATGATAGCATACCACCAGCAGCCTGTAATACAATAAGATATAAAATGAAGTAGTCATAACCGTAGAACCAACCCAAGTGCACGACCTTGTTCCAATCGGAGATGAGACATGTTAAAAAAGCGAAAGGAAATGACATGAAGGTGAGTTGGGCATTTCTCATCCAAACAGAAATGTCTGAACACTTTAAGATCATCTCTATAATGATACCAGCAAAGCCTGAGAGAAAGCTGGCCACGAGCACGGCGCAGAATCCAATGAGTCTATTCTGAGAATCTGCCTTTATACTGGCCTGTTTATGTCCCTCTGAAGATCCAGACAGTTGAGCGATTCCAACTCCGATGACTAGGAGTACCAGAGCAACCCACTGCGATGGTAACAAGTTACGTTTTAACAGCACAACTGAAAGTAGTGATGATGTCAGGATCCTTAGCTGGTAAGTCACCTAAAAAAAAAAGTGGATAATGAAGATAAAATTTATGTATTTCAGTAATCAATCTAATTTTTTACTTCATTTTCTTTCCTTATTTTTATTGATGCCAATAAAAAAAAAACCTGCAAATTATTTCACAATGGTTTAATATTTCCAAACAATTATACATCTAAAGTAACATTATCTTCCTCGTGACAAAGAAAAAGAAATAAAATGTGATTCCAATTATTGGCCTAGAAAATTTTTTTTTCATCATTAGTAATTTTCTAAAAAAAAAAAAATAGCATTACTTCTGTAACACATTTAAAAATAAAAAACGAAAACAAAGGATATAACCTTTGCAGCAGAACATATAAAAACATGTAGATACTGTATCTTTGCTCCAAATTGTCCGATTATAACGATGTTTTTTTTTTTAGGAAATTCCGTAAACGTTTAAATAACCATACAATATCAACAAAAAATTGTATACTTTTTGAGTTATTCGGAATCAAATTTTACAATCCCTCGTAACTTTTTTTCCAGCTTCTTTTCGTTGAAGTATGTTATATAAATAAATTTAAACAGCATCAAGAAGAAGACTTTAGCGAAGTTTCATTGAAATCGGTACATTCATTTAGAAGCTACAGTCTATAGCAACAGAGATTTTTCGCCCGTCATTTTGAAAGGAAAAGGCGGATAGCAATGTCGATGAAGGAGAATCATCCTTTGGCGATTTCTGATTTTAAACTCAAATTTGAAAAAAAATCGGTCAAGTAGTTTCGGAGAAAATGCGCGGACTGCGGACGGACAAAATTTTTTTTATTCGTTTTCCGAATTCTACGTACCACGTTAGACCTCAAATTTTGAGAGGGGATTAAGATTTTGATTTTTTCGTTCGATTACAATGGTTCATTATTAAAATAGTAAACAAAAAAATATGTAGATTTTATAATTTTCTTGTTATTAAATCACATATGTACGTAGTAAAACACAGCACAAATTACATTCAATCAATCCAATTAACAATCAAAATTTACCGCGATTACCGTACAATCAAAATTAATCATTGATAATTTCAATATGGATTCAATGAAATGAATAACCCTTAGAACAATAACAGAGTTTAAAAAAAATATATATATATACATCAGGTTGGTATATAGAAATAATACAGATGTATACAAAAATACAGAGCATAATGGTATGATGCTTTTAGTAATAAATATCATAGATTTGTAATGGAATCAAAACGGATAATGTTGTACCATTAGGTGATTAGTATATCAAAATTTTCATTAAGAAATTCAAATTGATTTTTCAATGTTCGGATTTAAGTATTTACTTCAATTATTTTTCACAAAATTTAATGTTATTTGGATTTAGGTAAATTTGCATCCCTTAAAATATTTGCTACAGCTTTGTTTAAATTTTAAATATTTTTTTATTTAATTATGTTCAGTTTAAGGAGCAGTGCATATGACGTCATACCTAGACGGAATATGGTCATTTTTACTCCACTAAAGGTACTATTTCGCTGGCACGGTCCACGACAGCGACTGCTATTCCACGCTGCCAACCGCTGTTGGAGTAGCTATTTCGCTGAAACTGCTCTCTGAGGTTCTTATAACCTTCCTATAACCTTCAAACATTTCGCTGTATCTTCGAAGATAAAAAGATGGACATAATATAATAATAAAAATGATCATCCTATAATAATAAACATCTCTGACTACCGCTTTTTTATTTGACTTGGAAAAAGAAGAGAAAATGTTGTTCATTAAGAGAAGGAATATCAGTATTGCGATGTGATGCTCATCATCAAAGTCCCTCTGATATTAGATATTATTTGTTTGTAAAGTAATAGTAATTAATACATAATTGATTAATAATAAATATCATATATTTGTAATTAAATCCCAGCAGGCGATGTTTTATAGTTTTATCAATAGTAATCGGTAAATCACTACTTTAATTAAAAAATACAAATCGATTTTTCAATGGTTGAATTTTTTAGTATTTACCTGATGATAAAATTTGTTGGATTCTTTAATTCATTTAATATCGTTTGGATTTAGGTATATTTGTATTTCGCTGTAAAATATTACTAGGTGGAATAAATAAATATATAATCTTGGTACTTCAACCTTAAAAAAATAATTTACTATTGCATTGTTTCAGTTTTAAACGATATTTGTTATAATTTTGCCAGGCTTGAAAGAAATATAGGAAATAAGACGTATCGACGTGACTGTTATCATCAAAACAATGCTCTGATATGATAACATAACCTACAACCGCCGAACCGCCAACAGCTCCACTGCTTCAAGAGGAGTCAAATACGAGCAGCTTAGATATGACGTCATACCTAGACTGCCGAGCAGCGCGAAATAGGTTCCTTTCTATTCCACTAAAGCAGTGGTCAACCGCGAGCAGTCGCGGTCGTGGACAGCGCCAGCGAAATAGTACCTTAAAGTAGTTATCAACTGCGAGCAGTCAGTGAGGTGAGCATTACTAGCGACATTGTACCTTTAGGTTTTGGAATTATTAAATACTAGTATATGTGATGAAATTGCCAAATAGAAAATGTAATTTACTACTATTAGTTTTGTACAGCAGTTTATGCAATATAAAATTCTAAATATATTATTGAGATGTAGTACCTGGTAGGTGGTAGCATCAAGATGCGAAGCGGAGATGTATAACAGATTATTTTGTACAACATAAACCAATGACATGACTAGAAACTTTAGGGTATCCATATTGATAAATATAAACCTAGAACACAGTGCCTGTCTCCAAGATTTAAAATTCTGATGTTCGCAATAAACCAAGAAGAGACTTGCAATTAGTTTTATCAGTTCTGTCATAACTACAGCAGTAGATGCAATAAACATTGGACCATCTCTGGTACGAGAATAGCGCATGCTCAGTCCCAGAAGTGAATTCTGCAGCGTGAGGGTAACCAAGCTGGTCGCCTTAAGGTGAGTCTTCTGAAGATCTGACATGTCTGCCTTCATATCTTCATGAACACTGTCAGTTTCATCAGCTCCCCAATTGTCCTGTGAAATTTTAAATTTGTACTGTAATTGTAGTATATATTTTTAATGGAATAAAAAGTCGGTGGTACAGACCCTTTTTTATCATTTTTTTTTTATAAATAATTTAATTGTCAATTGTTTTTTGTATTCCTTATCCATTTTCTAAGCTCGCTAGTTCGCTTCCTGTTGGGTTCAGAAGAAAATCTTATGTACGATAATGTTAGAAAATTTCAAGCTGTTTAAGATTTAATATAACTATTTTTACTTTCACTTACGTATATGTAAGGGTAAGTATTGCGATTGTGAAAATTTTTGAACCTGAGTTTTCAACAGAAATACACGTTTTGGGGTACCCTGAGTCCAAATAACCAAGTCTCTAAAAATGGTATGTGTGAATGTTAGCAGTCTAGCTCAAAAAACGAAAAGTCGTACGAAACTGATCTTACCTATTTAAGAAAGGTATATGCCTTAGATGTGACAGCAACTTTTTCCTTAAAATCACCTAACCGGAAGAGCCACTTTATATTAATGGTGAAACATACCGAAGATTCTTCGGCGTATCTTTGGACTTCTTAAGGTCGGTGATAATTGGGGTAAGAGGATTAACAGGCACCTATATGATCTGTATGGGGAGACAGATGTGTTCAGGTGCATCAAGCTTGGGCGACTTCGTTGGGCTGGCTATGTGGTCAGAATGCCAGAAGAGGAAGTTGCTCGATGGGAAGCTCTGCAGAACAAGAGGAAAGGGCAGACCACGTCTATGATGGGAGGACGTCATCTGGGACGCCAAAGAAGTATTGTATACCAGCAACTGGCGAGCGACTGCGCAAGATAGAGCCATCTGGCGAGGGCTCATTGAAACGGTCAAGGACCACACCGGTCTGAAGCGCCATGGAGTTAGTTGAAACACATTTTTAATATTTTCTCACAAACGGCTCTAACGATTTTGATTAAACACGGTGTATCATTGCACGATTAAGTGGTCTTTAATACCATTTAGGTCTAATCCCCGTTGATGTCAATTTACAGGGCTTATAAGCCCAATGTTCATATATGTCTTCCTCTAAAGTACCTTTAATATGGTTTATTTTAAAAATTTAACCATTTAGCATCATTCAGAGTTACGAAAAAATGCTACAAATGACTTTTGAAAGAATTTGATAAGTTAATAAAGGAGAAAAAAATAAATAAAAATGCAGAATAACCTGCGTTGCTATAGACTGTAGCGCCTAAACGAATGTACCGATTTCAATGAAACTTCGCTAAAGTCATTTTCTCGATACCCTTTAAATTTATCTATATAACATACTTCAACGAAAAGAAGCTCGACAAAAAGTTACGAAGAATGGTAAAATTAAATTCCGAATAACTCAAAAAGTATACACTTTTTGTTGATGGTTTTTTTAAAGTTTATGGAATTTCCTAAAAAATAAAAAAAAAAGTTAAAATCGGACAATTAGGAGGAAAGATATGGTCTCTAGTTTTTTTCCCTGAAGAGGCAAAAATTTGGATAAATTTAAAATATATTTTGTTAATTGTTGAGACTAAAAAAACCTCTTTTCTATAGATATTTAACAAAGAGTCTTTCCTAAGAACATCTTTCGTAAGAAATAAGTACCTAAATGTATACCTTCATTCTCAGTTCTATATTTCAACACAGCAATTACCACCTCTGGAATCAACTTACTCATTGTCTGCATAGATAACTTTTTCAACTAAAAATATCACTAAAATGACATCACTCAAAAACGTTGAAATTGGAGTTAGTCATTCTGTGGTTTATAAAAGCAAAGAAAGTTGTGTGGTTTATAAAAGCAGATGGAGTGACTAGATTTTTATTGCCTGTCATCGATATATTAAATAGACATTTTGTAATTATAATGGTCTTAATGACTTGTTATCTGTAAGCTTTAAGCTTTAGCTCCGTTTAAAATGCACTTCAAAAAATTTTATAATAGCCCAGCATTGCCAGAAAATAATTTCTATTCAAAGTAGATCGGTAAGTGAAAGTTGTGTGTTGCGCGCACCAGATTTTTTTTTATATATGAAGTAAATAAAAACTGCTCATACTAAGTTAAAATATTTTTACGTTTTCCAAAGCAAGCTTCACGCACGTATTTGAATTAGGTTCGTGTTACATGCATACTTCATTTGTAATCGTATTTTTATAAACTCCTCAGTATAACGCTGTTTTATTATCTTGTTACAATGATATAATCTGCTATGTAATCAGAGAAGATACAAAGGGATTCCTGGATCGTTCAATTTGTTACTTTTTGTCCTATTAGTTAAATACTGTCATTTATTTTAGTCACAGGTTATACAATAAATAGTGGTTGAAAAGCGAAAAAGATAACGCCAAAAAAAAAAAAATAATGACTATTTTTTTGACATGGGTGACCAGAAGGGTGTTTCATAGTACAAGTTTCGCCATCAAAATACTTTAGGGAGCGATTTTGACCTCTATGATCTACGATATTTTTTAAATTCTTCCTTAGCATGCACTGTTTTTAAGAAAAAGTGAGCAATAAAATATCTTGAGGGAGAGGGGATAGGTTCTTGCGCCGTCGACCTTGGAGAGAATTGGCCAACTGAGTACAACTACTAAAGATTTTGTCATGCATCTCTAAAGATTCTAATGGCACTGGCTTTGCAAAAACTGTAAACAAACACCATCCCGACATATTCAGCATTAGTATGAATACAAGCATAAGGTGAAGTATTCTGCGAAAGCGTCAAATAAACTGATAAATGTTATTGAGAGTTCCCAATGCTAATTCCAAATAGTATTAATAATATATTGTCAATATTTTATAATATAAGTAATATATAAGATAATTTAAGTTATACAAATAATTTAAGACAATTGACATATATTATCTTCTTCGTAATATTTTCATTTAATGAAATACTCACTTGATCCACAACGTCTCGTTCAAGTACTCAATAATAAAACTTTAATTGTCACCATAAAATTTAACAGAATAACCATTTGTTAAGTCTTAAATCGTCCAATGAAAACAAAACTCTGATTAGTTGAACACACGTTTAACAGCAATGGATGGACCTAATAAAAATGAGCAATTGATCCATCTAAAAAGGTGTTTTATAAGTAGCGATCTCTTAAATCAACAATTCCTCGCAACAAACATTAATTACGTCATCTCTAAGTCAATATTAAAATACAATTTTAATGTGACATTGAGGGAATTTTTGATAAAATCTCTTAACCACGAAATAAATTCATTAATATGGCTTGAGGATATTGTTTGATTTAGTTTTTTTTTTTTGTATTAAATAATGAACTTGTGCAATCGATTAAAAAAAAATTACTTACCCTACTCAAAATATTAGAAGATTATAAAATAATTATTATCCGGAAGGTTCGTCTTTCCGCTTTCTTTTAGACTTTTGACTTTCACTTATTATATACGTAATATATAATAAGGAAAGTATTGCGATCGCAGAAATTTTCGCATCAGAGTTTTCCACGAAAATACACGTTTTGAGGTCACCTGAGTCTAAATAACCAAGTCCTGCAAAATGGTCTGTATCTATGGGATAAGTCTAGCTCAATACAGGAAGAGTCGAACGAAAATGATATTACCTATTTAATATAGGTGTATGCCTTGCATGTGACAGCAACTTTTTCATTTAAATCGACTATCTGGAAGTGGTCGTATAAATACGATTTTCGTTATTTTAATGGTATTAATGATTTGTTATCTGTAAGCTTTAAGCTTCAACTCAGTTAAAAATGTAAAACTTTTATGATTGCCCAACATTGCCAAAAAATAATTTCTATTCTAAGTAGAGCAGTAAGTGTAGTGTGTTGCGCGCACCAGATTTTTTAAAAATTATATCCATAATACATAAAAAAATCGATTACATTTTTGTTTCATTCGATTCAGGAAATGAAAACACATACACAATGACCACTATTTGACATTTTAAGTCGTAGGTTCAAGGTGGACCAAGTTTTTCTCCCGAAAATAAGGTATTTTGTAACACTGTGTGAAGTTTGATTTTTTTTTTTTTTTTTATTGATAAATATTACAATCTGTCTCAGTTAAGAATACATGAACAAAATAAGCAACACTAATGATTGCACCACAAACATTATTGAACCAGAGACAGCTGTTTGGATAATAATCAATGAATAATTCATTTTTAACAATAACGTTTATCTATAATTCCTCGAATGTAAACGGGACCAAATAAACACCATTCCCTAACATTAGCTAATATAACGCAATCCAAAGTTGCATTGTACATTAATGTCGAGCGGACTAACGCATTTGCGCAGTACCGCCGTTGCCCGGCAACCTGATATATGAGATAACTTGATAACGGCACCTAGTACAGAACCGTCTTAAGATTGTGTTAAGGCTGATCTGAAGGGACTGGGTTTGATCGGCGACCGGTGGAGGGAGATGTGTAGACAGCGATTGATGGTGTCGGCATCGAACCTTCGGGTTCGCTAAGCCTTATTATTATTCTTTATTTTTTATCACTTTAAAAAAAGGTATTTTCCTGGAGTGGGGAACTTCAACCACTTCACGTCAATTTTTGTAGTTGTATTGGATATTAAGGAAGCTCCTTACGATTCTCGCCATGTTCAGCAGCACAGCTTTCTGTTCTTCATTCATCGTAGCTATTGGGAGGTCCAACTTCTCGGTAACATCTACAGTGGATTTTGGAATCAGCACATTGCTAGAGATCACTAAAGCCCTTATTGTCACTTTGTTCAGTCTGTACAGATCTTTTAACTCGGCTGCAGAAGTTTAATATTTTCAATTTTTTTTCGGCGCAGACTGAGTTGGTGTTCCCATCATTTGCTACAGCGATATCTATTATCTCAGCTGTCTTCTTAATACTGTCGATCAACACGATATGTGGTCTGTTATGGAGCACAGTATGGTCTGTTATAAAAGATTGATTCCAATGCAATTTTATTCCTTCCTTCTGGATAAGTTCTTTAGGGTTGTACTTATAATCAGGTATTGGATCATTCATTCATTAACTTACTTTTTAGACCAATTTCCTGATGATAAATGTTTGCAACATTGCCTCTTAAGGTTTTCTGTACCAGCCAGTGCTCCGCACCCTCCAGTTATGTGCTAACTCCAACGTGCTGGCACAGAGCTTACAGTTGTCTCATACTGTCTGTTGCTTCAAGACGTGTAGTAAGTAAGACCTCGTTGCTTTGACTTGATATAGGTTTGCTGTCAGAAAGCCTCCTGTCTCAGGAAACAGATTTCCTTTCACCAGCCAACTAGTAGACAATGATTTATCTAATGTAGTTTGTTGGAGCTGCTGAAAAAATCTTCCGTGCAGTTTTTTTTTTATTTCTATTCTTCCAGTCGGTCAATGTCCGTGAAAATGATAGATTCAGCAGTTTCTAAAATAGCTAATTGTAATGTTGTGCGTTCATGGTCGAGATTGCACATTATGTTAAGAAAAGGTACCTCGATTTGTTTGAAGTGCTATCAGAGGGTCATTTCTTGTTTCCGGCACGCCTCTTCAATGTTTATGAGACCTCTCCCAACTTCCGTTCAATGCAAATAAAGCCTTTCTTCAGATTCAGTCGGGTAATACATTCTGAACTTAGTCATATCCTTCGTTATAAATCTACGTAATTCCTGGAGTGAAGTTGTAGACCATTTTAAAATTCCGACACTGTAAGATATGGCTCATATAACCCATCTAGACAAAGCTTTTATTTTTAAACCTGAGGATAAATATGTTGTAAGGATAGTTTCCATTTTTTTTTTCAACTACTCTAACAGTCTGTTTTCTGTCTCCTCTTCCTTTTTAAGGTGTTGAATACTTCATTAAATCCTCAAGGTCTAGTGCCTACTGGTCTTGCTTCAATAAATTTGCCTGGGTTACACTCAGGGCTCATCCTGCACAAATGCCTGTACTATCCCAACTGTCTCTATTCCAGGATCTCCTTCATAGCAGGAATGTTTAGTTCTTCGCTTATAGTTTCATTCATAATTGTAGCTCTACGTGTTTTCAAGTCCTCTTTGCGCAAGTAAGTCATCTCAAGTGCAGTTATTCGGCTCCATTTGTTGTCGAGAGAACCCTGCTCTGTGCTCCATACAGTAGAACAAGCATATATACGGCCTTGAATATGTGGAGCTTCAAATCTTTATTTATCTTTCTCTTTCTTACAACCGCGTTGCTAATGGAATAGTATACACTATTTGCTTTTCCTATCCTGTGGGATATTTCTGGTTGGACTTATTCATTTCCGCTAATCACAGTTCCAAGGTAGGAGAACTCATTGGGGGGAGTGGCAGAATGGGCTAACGCGTGTGTGCACAGCATTGCAAGTTTCCCGGGAACCAGATAATCGAAGTTATTAGAGATTAAACAGTACGAGTTCACGACCCGGTTTTAAATTCCCCGCCCTTACCCCTCGGACCGAGAAAATCTCGTGTAGCCTAAAGGACCAGATAGAGAAGAACAAAAAAAAAGGAAAAGGAGAACTCATTTACGACTTCAAGCTCTTCATTATTGCACGGTATGTGTATTTGATTGGGCTCTCGCCCTCCTTGTAGGATTTTACTTTTTTTAGCATTAATATTCTTGCCCTTTCTTCCCAGTTCTGCTTCACTCTCTACTAGGAGGATATTTGTAGAGTCAGCGAAGAGGACAATGTCGTCGTCATATACCATTACTTGTACCAGTATAGTTCTCATATTCCAATGACCAATTATAGCTCTTGTTCTTCTCTTACAAATTATCATTTCTTCAACAAAGATGATAAACAGTAGAGGACTTATACAGAAAAGCGAGGAATAAGCTTTTATTTCTATCCCAGGCTTTCTTGATTATCATCCTTAAAGCGAAGATATGGTCAACGGGACGAAAAGCTACGTGTTCATTTTCCAGTTTTTCCTCAATTAATGGTCTTAACTTCTTTTCTAAAATTAAGACATATATTTTACATACTACCTGGGAGAGACATGTTGGTCAGTAATTATCACACTCACTTGTGCTTTCCTTCTTGTGGATATGTTTGACAACGTTGTATTCCCATTCTTAAGGAATTTTCTTTTATCATATATTTTCTGGAAAAGATTATGTAGAACCTTAATTATCTCCCTTACGGCGTACTAGACCTAGAGAAAGATCAAGACTTAGCTAAAATAGCTATATTTCCAAGTTTGGACAAGCGAGAGGAAAGATACTGCACGTGAAGAATTCTTGCCAGAGACATAGCTAGATGGAGATCTTGGGTTGGATTAAACTAACTCGACGCTGAAAGGCACAACGAGAAAGTTAATTACTGTACTCAATTCATTAAGTTTCAATTTGTATCCGATCCCCTCTTGATTTAATAAAATTGATAATGGAAGATAAAACCAAAGAGGGCTGAGGCAGTCCCCCTGGTATATACCTGTCTAAATTTAAATGTACTCCAGAGGGTCTGTTGATTACTAATGTCCTATCTCCAATCTTGCTTTCAAGCTGCTCATCAATTTCTTCCGAAGTTCAGTTAAACATGGATGAACTTTGTACATATCCAAGACTTAACAGCCAACTGTTAGTAACCGAGTCAAATGCCTTTCAGTAATCAATCCATGCTATCGATATTATTTCTTTTATTCGTGGTCATTTGGTCTGTAATAAAAGAGTCTACGAGCAACAGCTCCTTACAACCTTGGACTCCTTTCCTACAACCAAGTTGCTCCTTCGGAATCAAATTATTTGATCGTAGGTGACATTCAATTTTACTTGATAGAATAGATATTAAAATATTATAAACTCCGTTGAGGCAAGTAATTGGACTAAAGTCTTGTGATTCTAATCGGTCTCCTTGTTTATTCAGCTTCCTTGCAAGCTGGTGTCTGTCAACTCCAATACACTTCAAAACTCCAAACGTAGATGACAACTCAGCAATAGCTCACGCATTAATAACCTTTACAATATTACTCGATGAAAGATATGTTTTCAGGAAAATCTTGATTCGTTTTTCAAATTCTTTAACAAATATTTCACGCGATACGTCCTTTAAATTTAATAGCTTATTTACACCTAGACATTTTATGTGTCTGATTCCTTGAGCTGCAATAGATATCAGGGCCTCTGCCACTTCAACCTTCGAGGAGGATTGTAGGGATGAGTGGAACTGGATAGAGGTTGTACTAGGGGATTCGGATGATTTATAAGCTTCTGATGGAATTGGAAAACTTTTCAGGGATAAGGTCGAGTACAAATGGAATATTAAGGTCATGGTGTAAGGTTTTATTGGTTACATAGAACGGAGCATCAACTATTGTTCGGAGGATTTTGGACTGAAAGGATTGGATGCGTTTGATGTTAGAAAAATTAGCTGTCCCCCAAAGTTCAAGTCCGTAGGTCCAAATAGGTTTCAGGATTGTCTTGTAGATCAGTAATTTGTTGTCAATTGAAAGTTGTGATTTTCTATTCAGTAGTCTGTATAATTGGCCGTATTGTCTGTTAAATTCTTGTCTTTTAAGTCAGGTATGTGGGTTCCCGTTAGTCTCCGGTCTAAGAGAAAGCCAAGATACCGGACTGTGTCTGAAAAAGGAAGCTGGATGGAATTAAAGTGGATTGGTAGACAGGATTTGCGCCGGAGGATGAAGGTAATGTGTTTGCATTTGGATTCTTTTACTTTGATGCGGCATTTGTTACACCAGTGCTCAATCAGAGAGAGGTGTCTTTGTAGATTTAAATATGCTATTTCGGGATCTGAGTTGGATGATAGGATGGCGTTGTCATCAGCCAGGAAGGTATCGGGATAGACAGGGATATCGGCGGTAAAAAGGGTATAAAGGACTGGGCCCAAGACGCTATCTTGAGGAACACCGGCCTCAACTGGGTAAGAATTGGAAAATTATTTGAAATATTAAAAAATAAAAATATGGTGGTATCTTGCAATTATGCAATTATTACACATCAACTTATTTAATTCGATTTTATTTGCTTCAGAATAAAAAAAAAATAGAATGAGAATAGCAAATGAACCTTTCTCCCACTTTTAATCTAATAATATTAATAAGTTATTATACGTTAAAGTGTTGATTTCATGTAGATAGGTACGTAAGAATTTTATAACGTTCAGAAACAAGAACTGGAGGGGTAACGTCGGTCTACTGGTTAGGTCAGAGCTGGATTACTCCCCACCATTTTCTTCTGAGTGAGCGAACATGGTAGTTTTATAGAACTTGATTACTTGCATTGTATAATAAAGTTTTTTTAAGACACTTCATTTATTAACCGTTCTCTACAACAATTCACATAATATATTCTGAATGATTTAAACAATGAATAACTTGTGTAGGAATCAGTAAGTCCAAGGGAGTGGAACAGGTTGTTACTGATACACCGGTACCGGCATATAGTTAAAAAAAATAACGGCTACAGAAAGAAGGCGTTCTAGGCCACCACGTTATTAATGAAAGATATGTTATTAAAACCCAAACTTTTTTTAACAATTAGTTATTGTATTGTATTATGTTGCCATAGTTCTATTTTACAGCTGTAAATAACTCAAAACACCTGAGGCTAAACGATAATATTTCCATACTTGTTTCTCATTTATCAATTTTAAATCTAACAAAATAACGTACTTAGTCCATAGCCGATGCATAAATTTTAACTTATAGTCAGACATACTTTCAAAATCATAAAAAAAAAGTTTTAAATTACATTAATTATATAATAATGATATGATAATGAAATATGACATCATTATATGAGAATAATAATTTTAAGTAGGGGGGGGGCTTTCAGGTAATCAGCGAGGTATTCATTACTTATTATTTAAACAATTAGAGACATTTTAATGTTATTAAAATCTAGTTTTTATTTATGATCAATTGCGCATCACCACTTATTTAGTGCATGAATCACTGAAGTCCTTGAAATGGTAACATGTGACCTAACATAACCTGGTTCATCTTAGAGGCTTCATAACATCGGATTGACAATTCCGGAGTTTTCCAATTTCCATGATTTGGTCAAATTCCCGTATTTTATAGTAATTTTCTTGCACTTACTGGTAGAAGGTCATTTGTGATGATTGGAGGTGTGGAATCATGTGTTCGAGAGTTGGGTAAAACATTGCTTAGAAGTAAAAGGTAGTTTTCCTTCGTTTGACATATCTTTTGCTGTATCACATTGATACTATCCCATGATTATCATCTGTGAATTATAATATATGTAGTCTCATTGTTGAACAGGTGTCCTCCATTACTTGTAAGGCATGAATCTTCAAAGTCTCCCGAACCTCTGAAAAATTCATTCGAACAACCATCCTTATCAACACCTTTACCAGGCCTGAAAAAAGCCAGATATGCAACTACCAGGGAAGAGGATAATGTTACTGAAGTTACAACGTTTCCCAACGGATTACGGGTTGCTTCCGAAAATAGATTTGGGCAATTTTGCACCATTGGAGGTTAACAGTTTTTTCTTGAGATAACATCTAGTTATTATAAAACCTTGTTCATTTATTGTATTATGTTTTAGTTATCATTGAATCTGGTCCTAGGTTTGAAGTTGCCTATCCAAGTGGGATTTCCCATTTCTTAGAGAAAATTGCTTTTCATGTAAGTGATATTGTAAATCATTTTAATTATTGGAATATGTTTCTGATTTGTAAGTTATAGATAAAGTTAAATTTATTTTGGGTAAAACTATAGTAGGCATACATTTGAGTGACAGGTGAATTAAGATCACATCTATCATACTGTAGATTGAATGACAAAGCAATCTAAGTGCATCTGTATTTTGATATGTTTAATTAAATTAGATTTTTAATCAAAACATCTATGCAAATCATTAAAAAAATAAATAAATAGGCCTGAGACTACTAATACCATTTGAAATATATTTTTTTAATTGTAATAATCAAATACTAGAAGTATACAAATTCCAAGATCAATTCCCCATCCATCAATCAAGATAAAAAAAGTGGATTGTTTTAACGAGTGAGCAGAGATTACCTATTAGAATTTCAGCAAAATTTATTATAAAAAGTAAAATATATCTCAGGCAGTATAGGACTTCAATGGAAGTCTTGTGCCAATGAGAGAAAAAATAAATATATATATACACATTTACTTCACACAAATAATTAAAATATATACAATTTATTGTTTAATGTTAACAATTTCATTTATTAATTTTTGTTAATTGGCCTATAGTGTTTAAAGTTATCATTTGTTTCTTCAATACAAATTTCTATCCAACCAATTATGTCCTTTATTTGCATTCCACTTAGATTTCTTTAACAATTCGTGGCCTTAGTTTGAAAAGTTTTTATTAACAAATTTGGGCAAATTGAGGTTACATACAAAAATCAGTGATGATAAAGTTATCTATGTACCAAATAAATAAATTTGACTAGTGGTCCTATGGTTATAAGTTTATAACCTACAGGCGCTATTCAACCCTCCTATACACTAAACTCTACTTGAGAACAAGCAAGAAGAGTATAATTATTTTATCTAACAGTCAGATTCATATGCAATCCCTAGAGCTTTCTGAAAATTATAGTTTACATTTTATCTTTAATTAAAATATCGTAGGGACAATATCGATAGTTGATAATATCAAAATAGATGACATCGATGGTAAAATATTGAATTTCGGAATAGGATGATAAGATTTCCATCTCCTGTTACTTTCAGACATAAGGCTTATTTTGGTATTCAATGGTACAGTACGATTGATATGATCATGGCCCATCAATACGAGACTACTATTGATTTTACCATATGTTCATTTCATTATTCAAGTATTAATTAAATTAAATTAATTCCTGAATATGATGTTAAGTTTCTGATGATTGATTTAAGAAGATTATCAGTCATAATAATTGATTTTTTTTTTTTCAAATTTTAGTCAACTGTCAAGTTTAAAAGCAAAGATAGTATACTGCATTATTTAGAAAAGCATGGTGGGATTTGTGACTGCCTCGCCTCAAGGTAATTAGAATTTTAAATTTTATCTTTTATTTTCTCTGATTTCATTTTTGTTATTAAGATTCAAATGGTATATTAGTATATTATAACTCTAAGCTTGACATCACAAATATCAATTCCAATCACTTCCTCACTACTGAAGGTAGGGAAACTTTGTATTCGTACAGGAAGTTTAAAACATTTTTGTGCTCTGAATTAAAAATGTTTACTCACGTTAGACATCAAGGATCAAATTTGGTACGTCACCTGTCTGTCTGGAGTCAAATTGATGTGACAGTCATATCACCTGTTATCATTTATCCGATTTTCATGAAATTTTCAGGGATTGTGTGTGTTGGTGTCTAGATGGTCGCATATCAATTTCATTAAATTCCACCTAGTACTTCAGCTTGCGCATGAACAAATGTATTTTCTTGGATATGCCAATACTTCATTAACAGCTGGTTTGATTTGACTTAAAGTTGAAGGAAAGGTGGGTTTTGGTAAAATAATGATGGTTCGATTTTATTGAATTCTGTCCTCAACTTTCTCTTATAAATGCGAAAACATATTTTTCTTGAAATGCCTTTATCTCAAAAACCGCACCTTCGATTTGACCCAAATTTGAAGAGAAGTCAGTGATTGATAATTTAATTTATTCTTAATGAAAAATTACTTATCTTGAGATATATGTATTAGTATTTGGTGGTGAGCTAGTCCGGCAAGTGAGCCCTATCGTGGTTCTTTTTCCAATCCCTGACTGCTGCCTTAAGGTTGCCACCACGCACTTACCAGGGTGAGAATGTCAAGATTCATTTCGAACCCACAATGTTCAGAACTCTGAGGCACTCAGGAACCCATACCTCAATGTGCTCGACATCTACAATGTTTCATTTATTCTCTATGGCCTTTTGTAAAAACCCAGTAACACAAAAACCAGCAAATTGTGATGTAAAAAATTTAAGTTACAGTGAAGGTTATAGATGTTACGTTGTTACTGAAAAAACGTAATGAAATGCTCAATGAAAGGTGGTCAGGTAAAGTTAGAGTGTAAAAAGTATTTCGAGCTTACTCTACAGTATCAATTAGCTTCATTAAGAGACTAAACTAATTTTTCTCATACACTTTTTATTCTTATTTGAAATTTCTAATAAGTGGTGGGTGCTTCCAGCCCAGTGCCTCTGGACAAATGCCCAGGTTTCTCTGCCCTGAGGCCGGCACTGCTTACTATGGAACTAGACGAAGCAAAGATAAGAGTGGAAAGTTGGAATATAATATTGAACGGCCTTCAAAACAATCGAAACCTGGCAACTGAAAAATAAGCTTGACTCGAAAAAAGCTACAATCCCGCAGAATTCCAGATATCGAGAGACGGAGAATTGATTTCATTAATTGGAAAATTTAACAAGAGACGAAAAAATAACTCTAGTTTCATCTTTTCAAACCAATGAATTTCTGAAATCGCAAGAAGCTCAGAAACAGTGTTCTTTACATCAGCAGGTTACCTAGAACTCACCAAGCATTCGTGAATCAAACTATGTCTGTATGAAGTTGAGTTTGTTAAAAACGAAACTTTCATAGACTACTTCAAAATGCAATCTGTTTGAAACACCCCTACATTGGCAGACAAAAAAGTGTATAATCCGTGTGATCAAATGCTCCCTTTTCAGTCAAATGGTTTACTAATTTCCATTTGAAGTAACATTTCTCTATATTTTGGAAACTGGCTTTGTTCCTGTAATGGTTTGATCATTATTGCTTTTACCTAACTATTATCTGTTTTTCAAAGTAACTAAGAAGCTGTAAGTTAGAAGTAATGGATTTAAAAGATTATTCGGCAGAAATACGATCAAAAAAGTTATGTAGAGCATTACATCTTCGTCTAACGATTGAAAAAAAAAAAATTGAAGCGAAAATATAATGATCATAGAACAACAATTATGCATTATTTTTCCTCTCCTGAAAATTCTTAGTTTTTATTCTCAGCGACTTTTGCAGTGTGGCTGTCGATATGTTATTGATAATTGTTCACATGTTTTATTTTATAGATTTTGATTCTAATGAATAAGTACGACTAATTCAGATTGTAATTTATTAAGCACTGTTACTTCTCTTGTTGGGAGTAATGTCAAGTTGTAATTATTTCGCTTGAAGTTGTAGAAAAGAAATAGGAGTGTTTCAGGCCAGAACCTTAATAATTTAACAAAGATAAGCTTAATAATGATCTTTTACACTGTATATAGTACAATAGTATTGATCGAGAATACGGTTCTCATGAGCAATGGATTTTGATGAATGAGGGCTCAAACAAAAGAGAATTTCATGGAGAAGTGGCGAAACCAATTTCCAGTGCTTAAATTCCTACAAAAACTTTAATTGAATTCATTAAAAAAAATCAGAAGGTTTTAAAATAGAAATGGTTTCAAAAGTAAAGGGATCGAAACAGGATAAATTTTGTTTTAAACATTATGGTGTAGATATCAATATGAGCCTTCTGTTGTGTCTTAAAGCACTGAAATTTACTATTTTTGAGATGAACCATAATTCTTCCTGAAAGCCTCTTTGTTGATTGGTTGCCGTGGGATACATTTAACATGTTTAGGTTTAAAATATTACTATTCGTGATAGTCTTCAACGAACTATAAATTTAATTAAAGGATAAATGGAGGAGAATAGCTCTGAGGTCTCTTGGCACTTCTGATAGTGTATAAAGAAACTTTTTGATATTTTTAATTAATAGAAAAATATCCTGGTTTGGCTTCTATACTCTCTGTGCAGTACACTTCAGCATTCTTGATAAGTGAGAGAACTCCCAACCAAGTCTCTTCTGGACCAATCAATTAGGTCTTTAGTGAGGAAAATAATGAATCAGTACAAGTTCAGAGATAACTGTATCTTTCAACCTCTGAGCACCATGTAGATGGGCCACATATGGGACAAAATGTTCATCATGCACTGTAATGACAAAGAGATATTTGTCGAGAATGTGTTCGATTATGCAGGATTTTTCGTAATTGCACGGCACTATTTTAGGTATATGTTCACTAACACAAAATAAACAAAAAAGTTCATATTAGCATATGTCTCAAACTCATTTATTAAACAGATATCAAAAGGTTAAAGATTTATTATTTATTTACTACATTAAGACTGACTGTACAAAGTTTTATGTGTTTAATACTAAACAAAAGGTTTTAATCACCTGATAAACAAATGGACAATAAGCAATGATAGTAGTTGCTCATCTGTTTGTCTAGTTGTGTATGTTTTAGTGTGAGTGAATACTGTGACACAGTTAAATTTATGATTATCATGGGGGACAACATAAATTTATTTACTTTTTCAGAACAAACAGACATGCTTTTAACTTATGGCGAGGTACATAGAAACGGTGCTGCTGCTGTTCAAAGATATCGTGAAAAATTTTCTAACTGAGGAATACCAAATCGTAAAACATTTGAGGCCATTGAAAGATGCCTCTCTCTAAAACACACAGAACTAGACAAACAGATGAGCAACTACTGTCATTGCTTATCGTTCATTTGTTTATCAGGTGATTAAAACTTGTTATTTATTATTAAACACGTTAAACTTTGTACAGTCAGTCTTAATGTAGTAAATAAATAATAAATCTTTAACCTTTGATATCTGTTTAAGAACTGGATTTGAGATACATGTTAATATGAACTTTTTTGTTTATTTTGTGTTAGTGAACACATATCTAAAAAATAGTGCCGTGCAATTACGAAACACCCTGTATATAATAGTTAATATCTACTAGACACTAGGATATTATAAATAATATTTTATCAATCGAAGAATTATCTTACCTTCTATTATAAAAAAAAAACCCAAGATCAATTACAAACTTTTCCTCATGCATTATAAAAAAAAAACCTACACTATGTGCTTAAGACCACATGATAAAATTGAAAATATCAACAAGGCGGGATTAATAATATAAAATATAATTTTTTTTTTTTTTGTTTTATTTTCACAAAGTAATTATATTAATAATATATACAAGTATAATTTTGTATAAATTAATGTGGTAAACTTTGCTCTGATAGATCTAAAATAAGCGATGAACACTTAATTTTTTATTATCATGGCTAATTAAAAAAAATATTTATGCTGACTTCTACAAATTTGTTTTGGAATTCTCTATGGTATTTAAATTTTGAGATATTTTACTCCATGTGTTCAAAACTGTTTTTTGGGGCTATCGTTTTTTCTTTTCCAACTGTCTAACTTGGCATCACGTCAAAATACAATTTTAAATTATTGCTGTTTACAAAGAGAATGAAACGCTGAACATTTCTCTCACTTACAATATGCAGGTACAATTTTTAGGTTCTGAGATATTTTAATCCAAATACAAAAATTATTCAACTCGAGCCAACTTTACCTGAATGAGATATATTATAGCTACATAGCCGAGCGTGAGGGCTGTTTCATTCATTACCTACAAAATAAAGTGCTACGAGCGGTTTAAGAATTTTTCACTTAAAAAAAAATCAGTGGATAAAATAAAAATGATTTAAGATTCTACAAATATGTTTCAACTATCATGTTAACATCTTGACAAGTGTAGGCAAAAAATTCTTAAAAGTACCATGTCTTGCGTTATTCATTTTCTATTTTTGTATATTTATTTCTGAAAATGTTCAATATTTTTAACCTTTTTTTTTTTTTTTTTTTAAGGGATACATTTATCTATGCAAGCTCAGCTGATAGGAGAGGTTATGATTCTGTTGTAAATATTCTCAGTGAAGTAATTCTTCAACCATTGGTTACCCATCAGGAGGTATTTAAATTTTTTTTTTTTGTACGAGATATATTACTTTTTAATTGCCTTAAAATTTTTATATAGTATTAAATTTCATTCATTAAGATGAATTGGTGAATGTAAAATGGACAGTTCTCGTCTAGGCCCTGCTTTTGAGAAATAAATATTTTAAATTCATTAGAAAAAATGTCTTCCTGTATAATGTTTTTCTTTCTGCACAACTGGTTCCGGTCTAACTTATTAGATTAGCAGGAGAGGAGGACCACCATAAGTTAGCCTGATGAAGGTCTGATCAAAGATCAAAACCGGTTGCGCATAGAGAAAAAAAAAAGAAAATATATATATATATATATATATATATATATATATATATATATATACAGGAATAGGACTTTTTTATTGAATTTAAATTTCAATCCTGTGACATAAAGAGTAAAATATTTTACTTATTCACCTTTGTCAAAAACTTGGATTATAATTCAATAGATGTGGCTTTCAATATTCAATGACATTTTAATAGAAATTTTATATTATTATTTTTAAATCTTATTGAGGACTACAGGGAAAAAAGATATTTAAAAAACAGGAGGTTTCAAACTCTGATGGTTTCAAAAGTCAATAGATCAAGAGTGGATACATTTTGTTTTAATGATTTTGATGCGAATACGAAGATCGTGATTTAAGTTCTGCTTTTTTATGTTTTTAAAGTTTATGATGTGTCGAGCTATTCTAGTTTTGAATTTTTTTAAGTTTCTGCTATGTAAATTTTGTTGAAAGTTTTAGTAATTTAATTTGTATATTACCTTTTTTTTTTCATCTGTTGTTTCTATTTTGTCATTTGTGATGTATTTATTTAATTTGTTTCTGTTGTACAATTCAAGTTAGATTTCCGGTAGATAATAATAGATTAATTTTATAAATAATAAAAAATAATATTCATTTACAAATGAGTATATATTATTATGTTCTACTCTCGATAACTTGAAGTTTTTCTCAGTCCCTTGACAATTTTTTTGGGCTATCTTTTTTTTTTCCAACTCTCTAACTTGGCATCTCTTCAAAATACAATTTTAAATTATAGCTGTTTACAAAGAGGATGAAACGCTGAACATTTTCCTTTCTTACATTAAGCAGGTCCCATGTTGTACGGTATATGGGGGGATCTCGAGGCGAAACTAAAATGTTTGATAAATTGCTTTGTACGATTCATCTTCAGGATCCCAAGGGATGCCTCTGTTCCCTGTTTTTATGCAGAGTTAAAGTGGCTTTATCCTTCCTACCGCCGTAAGTATTTCCTGGCATCCTTCCTCTTTCAAGTCATCCACTCCCACCGTCCTTCATACATCTCCGACCTCCTGCAATTTAACTCCTCTGTTCGTTCCTGCAATACTTGTTCCCGGTCTTCTGATTTATATATAAGGTCAATTTTTTTCATCCAAATGAAACTCAATAAAAGAAAAATAAATCAATATAAATATATTATGTTGGACTGTCATTTCGGTTTCTTAATTTTTTTTGCGAAATCAATAGACAATATTTGTTGTTTAAGGTTGATTTAGAAATAAAAATAGAAATATTAACTTTCTTCTGGCACAACGTCCCTTAAGAATAACCATACATATAACATATACATATAAATTAGCATTACATCTGGTCAAAAGATCTAATACATAAAATAATAACTGAAACATAAGTAATAAAACATGTATAATGTAATGTAAATATTACATAGTGATTTTAAATAGTGGTACGAAATCAGTGACGTCACGAACTACTGTAAAAAATGGACAAAGACAGATGGAAGGGAAGCAAGTGCCATATGTTAAGGCAGAAGGTATCCAGCAGGCTAGTGGAGAGGATCGAGACTGATATAATGTTATCAGCCGGCTAGTAAAGAGGATCGAGATAAGAAAAAGTGATTAACAAGTTGTGAGTGTCAATAAGGGAGAACAGAAGATTGTAGAAGTTGAATACAACAATACAGAGGAGGATTCACTGCAGAAATAGTGCACAGAATGAAAAATAAAAATGTGATAGTTAAAAAGCTTGCCAAGAGTAGCCCCGACAAACCAATGGAAATTCATAAATGTTAGGTACAATTAATGTATGATTTTATATTATAGTTGTGAAATGTGTGTTTGTTGTTTCAACCCAACCTGAGAAATAATTATTATGTAAAATAAATATAATTTGATTTAGAAACTGTTTTGTTTACTTTTCTAAGGAAACGTAACCTAGCAATATACTAAAGTATGGTGTATTTTTCAGGTTGACTTAGCATCGCAATATATAACGTTTGAGCTGGAAAACCTGATGTCAAGGCCAGAACAGGAACCTCTTCTCATGGATATGATTCATGCCGTTAGTAATTTTTTCTATTCATTTTACCAAAAAGATTATTTTAAATAATCTTTTTGGAATTCAGCGTATTGCGAATGTAATTTTAGCTTTTTCCAGTAAATGATTCACTTTTTAGTTTTAAATTTAGTTTTTTTCTTACCATCAAGGTTGCCATGAGCCATAAAGGTTTTTCACTAGTAAACAAATGTAAAATTATTATGAATTTTATTTTCATGGTTAATAAAAGTTTTACAGTTTAAATAAATAGTTGCAATGTAAGTAAAAACTTGCAGATTTTAAAATAACTATTTTGTAAACTCGTCATTTTTTTTTTTTCTTGCGATGATGTGATAATCTCTCTTTTTAATTTAGAATAATTTTTTATTGATTTATTTATGAAAATTCTAAGTATTTTATTGATTATATTTATTTGCTATGATCCACAATCGTATTTCTCATCCTTAATCTTGCAATAAGTGGCTGGAGTTGAGATGGTAGCTAAAGAAATTTAATAAATGTCATCTGTTGGCATTTGATTTTTTTAAAACAATTCTCCCTAATGCTTACTAACAATATTTTTGGAAAAATTAAACATATCTATTCTGCGTTACAGACCCGATTTTATCTAATTATTAACATCTCTCTAAAACTTAGTGGATGGCTCCATCTTATCCTAACTTACAACTTTTTTATTCGTGAAAATTATCGGAATTGGTTCATTTAATTAATCAATTTAATCATTTACTTTCCACTTGAATTGTAAGATAAATTTATCAAAGAAAGTGAGAAAAATGTTGGCTTACAAAAATATTGGGCCATTTGATACACAGAGGGTGTTTCAGGTTTAAGTGACCAAACTGCAAAAATTAACTATGGACCTCAAAACAAGAAAAAAGATTCCTCTGAACTTATGTCTGCAAATGCTTTGCTTAGGAGATATTCACAACTAAAGATTTTTGTGGTTGTGAATTATTTAAGTTGTATGAAATAAATAAAACCTATTTATTTGTTCTAACTACTTTATTAATTAAATGTAAACATTAACATTCATATTAAATGTTGTTCAAAGTGATATCCTTGAGTATTAAGACAGGATCGACGTTACGGACTTGGGTAGACTTTTTGTTTAATGTTACACCTAACAAAAAAATTCAGTAGTGTCAGGTCTGGAGAGCGTGCAGGCCAAGTCACTGGTCCTGCACGGCCAATAAATTGATTGGGATTTGGGATATGATTGAACAAGTCCTGTCAATGATCTTAATTCCTTACGAAGAAGGATAATTGAATCTTGTGGAACAATAACACATATCCAGTGCCGTTCTGCCGCTGCTGCTATTGAAGAAAGATGCCGAGCCTGTCTTAATGCTCAAGGAAATCACTTTCAACAACATTTAATATGAATGTTAATGTTTACATTTAATTAATAAAGTAGTTAGAACAAATAAATAGGTTTTATTTATTATATATGACGTAAATAATTTATAATAATGACAATCTTTAGGTGTGAATATCTCGTAAACAAAGTGTTTGCGGACATACCTTCAGAGGAAATTTTTTCTTGTTTTAAGGTCCTTAGTTCATTTTTGCAGTTTGGTCACTCAACCCTGAAACAACACCCTGAATATACTTTTTTTCCTGATTTTGTGATCAAATTATTTTCTGGTTTAAGGGGAAGCAAACAAGTGTTTCATAGTTTTTAGTACCTTATTAAATAGATAAAATTTTACCAATATTCAGATTGAAAACGTCACATTTCTGAGAATATTCAAAAATAAAAAAGTTGTAAGTTACGAAAAGATGAACCCATTTACAAAGTTTTGGATGGATGTTATGCCGATGAATATTTTTGTAATTCGATAAAAAAAGGTCTGTTTATCTATTATCGACAGTCAGTTGGACATTTCAGTCCGCCACGACTAAGGAGATCAAAATATCTTTTTTGACCCTCTGATCACGAGGTGATTACTTCTGTGGAAAAATAATTTATGTGAACAAATATTGCAATTCTTAGTTTTTAAGCTTGAAAGCATTATACGACGAATCCCTTTAGATTAATTAACAAGGACAGAAATCTGGGCTTTTGAGCCTCAGATTTATATAAATATATTTACTGGTACTGGGTGGGGGGGAGAGGAACTAGTCCGGCAAGTGGTCCTTTTATATAAATGTATTTACAAAGTAAACTCAAAGATATAATAGAAAAAAAGAAAGTTATCTTCTTACGTAAATCGATTGAGAAGAAAAAAAAACCAATGAAATGAAAATAAACCAATAATATATATACATATTAATAGAAATTTCTATTTACAATTTTATAGGGGCTGGATGGGAAGGAAGTGATTGATTAGGCGGGATTTATAAGTAGGGAGAGTATTGGAGGGAGGGGTGAAGTTCCATAGGGATGAGGATCGAATAATAAAAGATTCATCGAAAGCTGCGGTTCGGTGGGCCATTATATATCAATCTGAATACCGGGAACGGGTATTGCGGTGTAGTAGACATCCTCCTGTATTTACTCTTTTAGAAGACATTGTGTGAGGGAATGAGAAGGATTATATAATATATAGGAATGTGAGGTTGCACTGTGAATTGTACTCAATTATGCAGTGGACAAATTATTCATGGAAAGGTCTCATATCGACAAACAATCGATAAGGAGGTACACTGGAAAAAGGTCAGAGCAGGTAGCTGGGAACAGACGGCGAAGAGGACGCCAGTCACTTTTAGGCCTGGACAGGAACACGAGAAGACGTCATCTGGGAAGAGAGTCTTACTACATTGAAGACTAAGAATATCAAGCCTACATATATAAGACTTTAATATATTCATTTATTATCAGTTGTTAAAATAAATTGCTTTGTTAGACAGGAGAGAATAGTCCTTTTATTTAGTTGTCCTATAGGCCTCACAATTGAAGAATAACGAACCAGGTGAGTCAATTCATTCAAAGTGTATTTACTAAGTCCCACATTTCAGATATATATTTATTCTTATTGTTTCTTCTCACTCAATGTCACAAAAGGTATATATCACAAAGAATATTTACTATTTCCGCCAAAACTAATTATTTAAAATTAACTTTTAGTAGGTTATTTACAGTGTCTATATCATTGCTATTCATTTGGTAAAAAGTAACTTATAGTTCTTCAGCCACCTTCTGGGAGAAACTTTTACTACATTTACAGCAGGAGTGAACTAAGGATTTAAATAGAAGGAGCTTGGAGATGTATGAAGGGTGGTGGGAGTGAATGATTTGGAAGAGGAAAGACGCCAGGAAATACTTACAATATATGAAGGATAAAGCCACATCTTCATAAAAACAGAAAACAGGGGCATCCCTTGGGATCCCGAAGATGAATTGTACAAAGCAATCAATCAAACATTTTAGTTTCGCCTCGAGATCCGCATTGACGCCTCCATATACCGAGCAGCAATAGTCAAAGTGAGGAAAAATTAAGGAGGTGACCAGGAGTCTAGGTGTTTCAAAAGGAAAATGGTGACAGAGGCTATTTAAATGTTTTAAGGTGGAAAAGATACTTCAGGAGATATTGGAAACATGGTTTTTCCAGGAAAAGGTTTGATCAAAGATTATTCCTGATGGTGGGATAAAATTTGATGGGATTATCTTGTAGGAACAGGGTTGGGATGTTAGGAACAGTTTTGAGGAGATGATTGGAGCCTATTAGGATTGCCTTGGTCTTTTTCGCATTCAACTTCAGATTGTTTGCTCCTGCCCAGTCGTGTATTCTATTTAAATCTTGAAGCTTTTTTGTGGCCGCGAATAGGTCAGAAGGGGAGAAGTACAGATACATTTGGAACTCATCAGCATAGATGTATTGGGAGTGATGGATCAGGAGGGGAAAGTCATTAATGTAAATAGCAAACTAATATTAGTTATTAATATTATAAACTTAAAATTACTTATATTTTCAGTCATTTATTTGTATGTTAAATTATTATCCTTCCAATGTTCTAAATTCATATAGATATTTTTTTAATTGTGGTTATTAATATATATACTTTTTTTTAACAATGCAGGCAGCTTACCGAAATAATACCCTTGGCCTACCAAAGATTTGCCCCGAACAGAACATCAAAGCTATCAAGCGAGATACAATCCTCGCATTCATGAAGAACCATTTTACCCCGTCGAGGATGGTAGTTGCTGGTGTAGGCCTCGAGCATAAACAGCTTGTAGAATCTGTCCAAAAGTAAGGTTACAACACTTAATCTATATATGATACTTGATAGATGAAATAAAATTTGTCCACTATAGAGAGATGTTTATTTTATAGAAATTGGAAATAAAACATGATGAAAAAAAAATGAGAGTTTACAGATTAAATTGTATTTTAATAGTCATATATAATGAAAGCTGTAACATCAAATCCACACATTTTGTAATTGCACTCATAAATAAGAAAATGTTGTGTAATATTCAGACACTCTCTTTCTTGGAGGAATATATTTTTACAATATATTTGTGTTTTTAAAATACAATTTATTTTAATTAAAAAGTTTTTCAATTGTTTTCAGAGAAGGTATTTCAAATATAAAATTCTTACATCTTGCAAACTGTCGTTTTGAACTAATTTGTTCAGAAATGAGTATCCCCACATATATTATTACAGTAAGGCTTGAAATCGGTTGTGTACCAAATATAAGCTCATGTCATGCTCAAATACCATGAATGGGGGACCGTTGGATTCAGAATTTCACGGGAGGTTAGCGAATCGTATTCTCCACTTTTGTTTTTCTTTCTAAAATAAATAAAGTCGATACAAATATTTTGCTAGGCTTCAATACAGGAACCGTGGTAGGTCTGTAGATCGATACGGGGCAAATTGGACCTTGAAGATTTTGATGCGTACAGCAAGACCCGGATAGTTCCTTCGGAACTATCGGATCCTGCGTTTTTAAGCCCAAAGCATTTTTAAGTTGGTTCGCATCCACACAACCCTTAAGTTAATTGTAGTACTGTCATTGAATACATGTCTCATTTTGTCGACTTGAGGCCTCTATGATCGAAAGAGGAGGAGTTTATATTATTTATCGATGATGTTTTTGATTAGCAAGACATATCATCGTTAATTCTTCACCAATTCTCAAGATTGAGCCACCAATTTCGTAGGCTTCCTTCTCCTTCAGGCGGACAAAATAGTCCGATCACCCTGAAAATTCAGGCAAACAAGTTATGAAAGAAAACAAACTTTATTTGCGAATAATTAAAAAATTACACACTTTTCCATAATGATGTAGAGATGGTTGACTGTTGATATAATATGAGAAGGAGTTAATCGGGGGGGGGTGTGCGGTCAAATAAATACTAAATTAAAATATATTAATTATTTTAATTTTTGCCGACGTTTCGACCCACTTTGCATGTCGTCTTCAGGGCTACAAAAGATACAAAACATGTTGAAAATAAAATAAATAAATATAAGTAGATATAAAATAAGAAGAAGTTATCAGATACAGAAATAAAAGATGATATCAGAGATATAGTGGGTGACAATGTAGTTAAATATTAAGTATTCTACATATATAATACTTTTCTTATATCTTATATCTTCTACATATATAATATTTAATATTTGACTACATTGTCACCCACTATATCTCTGATATCATCTTTTATTTCTGCATCTGATAACTTCTTCTTATTTTATATCTACTTATATTTATTTTTTATTTTCAACATGTTTTGTATCTTTTGTAGCCCTGAAGATGACCTGCAAAGTGGGTCGAAACGTCGGCAAAAATTAAAATAATTAATATATTTTAATTTAGTATTTATTTTACCGCACCCCCCGATTAACTCCTTCTCATACACACTATTCCCTTGGTTATGCCCATGGTTATATAAAAGATTACTAAATTCCCTACAAAAGGAAAACAAAATATCATCGAAATCGAACAATTTTTAGCAAAGATACAGCTTATTGAATTTTGTAAACATGTTGGTTCCAAACATTAATGAAGATTTAAATTAATGTTTGTTTTCTTTGTCGATTATATTTATCGATAAAGTAACAATTGATTTCTTTATCTTTTGATACGTTGCATTTTTTTTTTCTTATTGATTTGGCATTTGAAAACAATATGCTGTGCGAATTCTTTGCACGGGCCTACTAGTATTTAAAAGAAGGAGTTATGAAATTAGAAGGCATGTTGATCCGATGGCGCCATAGTCTAGTCCTTGCAGAACCTTGGTCTCCTCACTTGTCTTTGTCCTCCCCTCTTCATCCAATTACAACCAGGCTCCTGAGATCATTTTCGACATTCTCCAGCCAAACAAGCTTAGGCTGGCCTCTTTTATAATACATTGGTGGGTTGGCAAGTTTTGATATGCTGTATTTTATTTGCGGTTTCTATGCTGCTTAATGTTCTTCCTCTTCTCTGAGTCCCCTTGCTGGGCGGTATAGTAATCTACTCAGCCATCTTAAATTTTTTTCAGTTGATAAACAAATACTCTCCAGGTTTAGGTCAAGGTCTTCAACTTGTCTTGGACCTGTTCAGACCATTGCTCTTTAGAGGGCTGTCTTCTTATCAACCTTCCCTTACTTATCTAGAGATGGCAGCATTGTCGCCAGGCTATCTTAATCTTAAATTTAATTGGTTGATATTTTGAACTCATTTTCTCCTATTTGAGAACAATGATCTGTAAATAAATAGTCAAGAATGTTGATTAATGTTAAATATATTTTTATTTAGTCTAATTTTTAATTGTGGATTATGTGTGCAAGAAAAATGTAGGTAACTTTGTTTACTTAATTACAGACATTTTGAAGACAAAAAACCAACATGGGATGGCATGACGAAGAAAAAAGTAGATAACTCTTTGGCTCAATATACTGGAGGTCTTGTCATGGTGAGCATATTTCTACATTCCTATGTATCATTACATTTTTTCTTATGTATTAATTTAGTAACAATCTAAAATAACTTCTTGTTTATCACCAAGATGAGTGTCAACATCATGAAAATAGTCTATTTTATCAATTATTACTTTTTATGTATTGCTTCCTCACTACCGAAGGTAGGGAAGCTTTTTATTTTTGTGAGACGTTAAAAAAAAATTTTGGGCTCAGAATTGAAAATTTCCACTCGCTTTTACGTTTTAGACATCAAGTATCAAATTTGGTTTTGTGCCTGTCTGTAGCCAATCAATGTAATGGGCATATCAACTACTACCGTTCATTCTATTTCATAAAATATTCAGGGATTGTGCGGGTTGGTGTCTAGATGGTCCCATATCAATTTCAGATCTTTATATACCTGGGATGTACCAGCAACATTTTCATTCAAATCGGTTTACCAGAAGTGCCACTTTATATCATTGATTTTACATATTTTTACAATGTTTTGAAAATGGCTCTTAACGATTTTGATTAAATTCATTTTATCAATTAAATAGTTTTTATTTGTTTTTGGCAATGATGACTTCCAATTAAACAACAATTGATTTATTTGTTGTATTTCCAAATTATATGTTTACATGTTAACGTTTCGGGATATTTACTCCCATCTTCAGAACTACAATCCCAATGTATTTTTGTTGATTTATGGCTTAAATCTAATGTACTCCATTGCCAGGTTCTAAATTCATGTTATAATAAATTAAAGTATATAATATCCAGAGCATCAAATAACAAAGAACAAAGAATAACATAACTTCCCAGAAAAAAGAAACATTCTCATTAATGTTATTTAACCAAGCTTAAATACCTTCAATTTTTTTTGTTTTTTAAATAATTAACTATCCCACATTATATAAGGGATCGTAATCGAAAACTGAATAAACCCGAGCGCACACTCGAGCTTGGCTGAAAGGTCCGAAAAATTTTCCATATGTAACATATGCTTAGTTAAATAAGGGCTCCGATAATGTTATCTATATAAATAAAATATAAGATTTTGTCTGTACATTGATTAGAATCAACCCATTTTATGATATCTTTCCGTTCCATACATTGCAGACACCAAATCCACTTTTAAAAAAATTGTTGTCTGTCTGTATGACTGCATTGCAACGAAATTTTGTCAGGGGTAAGCTCAGCAATAGCTAATGGTAGACTTTTGAAATTTTTACATTACATTTAGGTTTGCTTGACTTAAAATATTTAAATGAAAACAAAATATAGAGTAGGATCAAAGTTATGAATCCTTGATTAATTTGTTTAGAGATCCTGGTTAGGCATTTACTTTGATTCTAATCCCAACCGACTCTACCACGAGCCACATTTAAAAGCAGATCTAATTGTTTTGATAAAATTTGTTGGTAGTTTGCAAGTTTGCCTTTCATGGCACACAAACAAGAACAATGACGATCTGATTTAAAAAAATTGGGAAAATAAGTACGTCTGTAGTTCCAAAATCTTATTTCAAGAGATTCATATTCCTGAAAACTGGTACTTGTTATGTAAACAAAACATGTTCATGCATATTTGTTGTATTTTCATCATTTTTCTGTCAGATTTTTTAGTAGAACAGCACACAACCGCATTCCCTGGTGATTTTTTTTTTTATCTTAGTGTCTTTTTTATTTTATCAGTTTAATTTTTGAGAATTAGAAGTTGATTCGCGGTTGCTGTCAAAAGTAAAAATACACAAAAATATTTATTATTTAACCAACTTCTACTAACTGAACTACAGTAATTTCTATCACTTTTTGATTTTTATTAGATTTCTTACTAACTTATATATCTTAAAAACTTATCGTTTCTTTTATAACGCCTCCAATATTCTGGATTATATTATTTCAAATGTTAAATATTGTACCGGATTTCAAAAACTTAGTTATGAGTCAAGCATTTTTTTTCTTTTACTTAGTGGTAGGAATGTAGATATGTGATTTGCCGATTTCCATATTGAAAACGCCCCGATTCCAAGAATTTTCGTTGATAAAAAATTTGTAGGTTATGATGAGATATAGCTATTCATGAAGTTTCAGGTGGGTGTTAATCTATATATATATATAAATGAATGTATGTCTGTCTGTCCGTCTGTTTGTACTTTGTGCATTACTAAACCATTCATCCGATCGCCATGAAACTTTGGGAAGTTGCTCCGTACACTCCTGGGAAGGTTTCTGGCATAGTACTTCTGCCTTACGATAATTTTATATTTGTAAAAAAAATAAAAATGCAAATGTTTTTCTGTTCAAAGCCGCAAAAAATGTGTCGCTATAAACTGTAGCGCCAAAACGGCTTTACCGAATTTAACGAAACTTGGCTAAAGTCTTCCCCTTCAAACCCTTTTAATTTATATGTATAACGTACTTTCCTGAAAACAAGCTGAAAAATGTTACGATGAATTCAATATTTTATTTGCTGATAACTAAAAAAGTACACAATTTTTGATTGATAATACCATATTTATTTGAAAGATTTCTGAATTGCTGACAAAATAAAAAAAAAATCGAAAAAGGATGGTTCGTTGCAGAGTTATAGAGTTTTAAACATTGACTGCTTTCTCTTTAGAAAAGGCCGTTTCCTTTTGCTTCCTCACTACCGAAGGTGGACTTTTTTTTTTTTTTTACTTTTTATTGATTAATCAAAAATTTTATAATTACTACAGTAATTGAAATTATCATTTGAAGAAGTTATATGATTCTCCTTATGTAAGTCAATACTATTATACGTTTTTTTTATTTAGTTTTATAAGTTCAACTCAGACTGTTTCTGAAGATTATGAATGTTCAATTTGAAGCATGAGAAAAAAAATCATTAGAATTAGTTTAAATTGAAGCCATTTTACAGACAAATTTGTTTCGCAACTTTTTAAAAATGACAGATGTCCTTTGCTACTAATCTACTCATATATGCTTTCTATTTTCTTTCTTTTTCATTTTGCCAGGCTAAGCCACAGCAGCGCCTGGCCGGGTAAAGCTAGTAATTTAATAAATAGGGGTTTGTAGCGCTGACTATAAATATCTGCTGTCAACCATTTCTCTATCATTAATAAAGTAACAATTTTATTGTTCTAACATGAACTTATAAGAATATTTTTGTTTTTAGAAATAAACATTGGCTTAAATATATTTACAGGACGAGTGTAAAATACCGCAACACATGGGACCGTCCGGCCTGCCCGAGCTGGCTCACGTGGTGATCGGGTTGGAGGGGTGCAGCCACACTGACCCAGACTTCATCCCGCTCTGCGTCCTCTCCGTGATGATGGGAGGAGGCGGTTCGTTCTCTGCCGGCGGCCCAGGCAAGGGGATGTACACGAGGCTCTACACCAACGTTCTCAATAGGTAGAAATTTAATTATTAATAAGATGCTAATAATTAATAATAATAATAATGCTTTATTTATTCTGGGACGAGTCCCTCTAGAATAATACAGTGCCGGGGATTTGTTTTAAGAATCACGAGTGTAAATAACCTAGTTCCCCGATATAAAAGCGGAAGGCAACAGCCAATTCCCGCCAAGAAAAGTCATTTAAAATTAAATTTTACCCTGTTATTTACAAGCTTACCACTAATGGCCGATGATAATGAAGAGCATAATCACTGTTGAGAACGTGAGAATCACACATAGTTCAAAACATGATTTGGTGTTATGCATTATAGCGTTATCAAGTTTTGATGAAAGTTATTTGGCAGGCAGGCGTTAACACACCCAGTAACCTTTAGTTGAAAGCACGATTTGCAATTATCCTGAAAAGAGATTTGGTGGTCAGGCTGTACTCACTTATGCGTAATATTTAGATTTTTGGATTAGTAATCGACTGTCGTAGATATATTTAAGAGAAGTTGGTTGGGGTGTTCAATCAAACAAAGAAAAAAAAAAATAAATTAAATTTCATTTATTTTTATTATAAAGATTAATATAATAATATAAATATCGCTACTGTCATATATAACTTTTTTTACATATTTGTTCTCTTTGCGCTAAAGGAGATATTTTGTAGTCTGTAACTACTATAGGTAGTCTGCTAAATTGGAAAATAGCAGAGGGAAATAAAAATGAAATTATATCAATAGATCATATAGAAATAATAGGTTTATCATCGTATTATATATCATATATCATGTATTATTATGTACTGTATATCAGGTCAAATAAATACTAAATTATAGAAATAGTATTATTCAATTTTTATGGCGACGTTTCGACACACTTTGCAGGTCTTCATCAGGGCTACAAAAGATACAAAATATAAAAGGTACATGGGGAAAATAAAATAAATGAATATAAATAGATATAAAATAAGAAGTCTGATAAAGAAATAAAAAGATGATATAAGAGATATAGTGGGTGACAATGTAGTTAAAACATCAAGTATCTATATATATACAACAACATCAAGTATATAGTATATATTAAAACATCAAGTATATATATATATATATATATATATATATATATACATATATATATATATATACATATATATATATATATATACATATATATATATATATACATATATATATATATATATACATATATATATATATACATATATATATATATATATATATATATATATATATATATATATATACATATATATATATATATATATATATATATATATATATATATATATATATATATATATACTTGATGTTTTAATATATACTATATACTTGATGTTGTTGTATATATATAGATACTTGATGTTTTAACTACATTGTCACCCACTATATCTCTTATATCATCTTTTTATTTCTTTATCAGACTTCTTATTTTATATCTATATATTTTATATATATATATATATATATATATATATAGAAGATACAAACAAAAATAGAAAATAAGTATGAATAAAAATAAAAAACAAAGGAGAACATAGCATGTAAGTTAAAAGTAAACAGATTGTGATAAAAGATAAGGAATGAGTGTATTACAAACTAATAAAGATTACATTTGATAAATGTAGGTTAACAGATAAAGAAAATGAATGTTAACGAATAAAAAGATTGAAGATTGAAAATTGAATAAGTATTGATAAGTATCAATGTAATATTCCCACAATGTAATAACATTCATTTCAACAATAAACAATCGAGCAAAGATAACCAATGCAATAGCTCACACGCAATAGCTTACGCGAGTTAAAAAGGCAGGTTATGTGATACAACATAAGATAAGAAGGGAGGTTTACTGCCGACCAGACTGTTCACAAGTACTCTCTTCAATATAAAAACTGAATTTTTATTTACGACATTTTGCACTATTCGTATCAATATAATGAATGAAGAGAAGGATCTTTTTATCTTGACTGATCATCCCAACCATCCTTCCCTTCAATTATTATCTGCAGTCAACCATCAATACACAATTATGAATATAATAGATAATTTTATTTTATTATATTTACTAAATATACTATAAAAATAAACATAATTTATTTATTTATTTTTTACTTGCTTGATTGAACACTCCAAGCAATTTCTCTTCAACATAATATTTAGGTTTATATTAAGCTAATTATTATTAACTGATATTAAATATAGAAATGAACATAATTTATTATTTACAGTTTCTAGTAAGTTAAGGGATTTCACTCTTATTAATTCACAATAATTATCACGAAGTAAATGTATGACTAAATAGTTACCTGTTAGATTTAATATTATTTAATTGGTTGCTGATATAACTTTTTTTTTAAATTTCATATATGATTTATAATGATGTATTACAGGAGTTGTGAATGAAATATTTTATTTATTTTTACTATAATGTAGTTTTATAAAATACCTCTCTAAACAATGCCGGCCTCAGACCGCTGGTGGGAAGATGTCATTGCTCACGGTCGTTAAGAGTCTTAAAGGCAGTTCTGCTGACACCCCAAATATCAAACGTTTGAAAAATTATAATTTATTGTTTACTATCATTATAATTGAGACCTTACTTACTTACTCCTCGGTGCTATAGTCCGCGTGGGACCCTGGCCTTCTCAACGATACGTCACCAAGCTGTCTCAAATGTGCCTCAACATCCTCCAACCAATGGAGTGGTAGCCTTCCTCTTTTTCTTGCTTCTCCAGGTCGCCCATATAATATTTTCTTCATTACATGGTCTGCTGCCATCCTTTCCACATGCCCTAACCATCTTATTTGTCCTGCCTTAATGAAACTAACGAGATCTGCGTCCCTGTAGAATTGTCACAACTCCCGATTGTATCGGGACCTCCAAACGCCTCGTAAATCATTCTAAGAATCTTATGCTCTCACACTCCGAGAGCCCTCTCATGTTTTGCTGATATAACCCATGTCTCGCTTCCGTATGTGACTACCGGACGAAACATTGTTTTATAGATTGTCAATCTGGCATTCCTTATATGCATATATATATCCTTATATCCTGGCATAGTCTTCGAAACGTAAGTAGTCGCTGTATAAAAACATCAGCAATCCAGGCTCCTATCTCAGCTATAATTGAGACCTTACACTTGAAAAAAGAAAGAGGCGACATAAGAAATAAGAATAATTAAAAAATGTACCACTACAACCCATTCTTAGATTCCATACTAAAGTCTTAGGTTCAATTATAAGCCACTAGGAAAAAAAATAATTAATCAGATGTAATTGCTCATGGTATGTGTGGGACAGGTGTGTTTAATTCATAACCACAATACACAGTTAGTATCATAAGTTTATGGGATACATTTTAAGTTATATATCTTAGTAAAGTTGATTTTTAAATTTTTGATGAGATTAATAAATGTTGACTGTTAGGTACCATTGGATGTACAACGCAACTGCCTACAATCAGACTTATTCAGATTCTGGCCTGTTCTATATCCACGCCAGTGCCCCTCCGAGCAATGTGCGCAGTATAGTCGACGTATTGACTCGGGAAATGGCAGCGATGGCTGGTGAAGTGGATTCAGTTGAGCTTAGGGTATATTGCTTTCAATTTATTAATTTTTCTTCTCTAAAATAATTTAATTTTAAGAGCAGATTATAAAATTATATTTTTATCGGTGAAATTAAAGATGTATAATAAGGTGTCTCTTAAATAATGGGAAATATTTAGAGAAGTGCCCATTTCTGTCTGTGCCCGAGGGCAAAGTTGTGTCTGCCTGACTTTAAGTGCAACAAAATGATTTTAAAAAATTGTGTGCTCAGAACCGAAAATTTCTGTTTGCATTTTATGTTTAAGGCATCAAAGATCAAATTTGATTCGGTGTTAGTCTGAATGTCTGTCTGTTTGTAGTTAAAACGATGTGACAGACATATCACTTACTGTCGTTTATCTGATTTTCATTAAACTTTCAGGGATGGTGTGGGGTGCTGCCTAGATGGTCCCATATCATCAATTAATCAAATTCCATCCAATACTTTCGCTTAGGTATGCACAAATATATTTTCTTAGACATGGCAATATTTCAGAAACAGCTTATTATATTCGGTTCAATGTTGGAAGAAAGAAGGGTATTTGTAACAAAATGATGCTGTGTTATTTTTATTGAGTTCTAATTACTACTTTTTCTACAATTTATGTAAATGTATTTTTCTTGATAAACATGTATCTCAAAAATCGAACGTTCGATTAAGTCCAAAGTTGAAGATAGGTTAGGGATTAATAAACAAATTATCAAGACTGTATTCTTTTATCAATTATATATTACTGGCTTAACACCAACTGTTGTTACTTAGATTTCATGTAATTTTCAGGGTTGGGGTTGATTGAAACGTAGATTGTGCAGTATAGATTTTATCGAATCCTGTCTACTTCTTAACTTGCGTGCGTTTTTCCTTGATTGACTAAACTATATGTACTGCAACCCCTTAACATTTACCAGAGTTATTTTCCAGATAAATCATGCGAATCTCGGATTCATGAGTCTGTTTTTGTTTCTTTCATAAATACATTTTATAAAAAGAAGAGTATGCAGATATTTTTTTATTAACGTGTGTATTTTATGAGTGGATTCATATTTAAGAAAGACATCTGTCATTTTAAGAAAATTGAGAAAAAGTCCATTTTTGTTTTATAGGTTCAACTCAAACTATTTCTGCTGACTTCATTTAAGAATGTTCAAGTTAAATCATGAAAAACAAATCATTAAAATTGGTTTAAATTGAAGCTATGTTACTGAAAATTGTTTTTTTCTCAACTTTTTAAAAATGACAGATATCCATCTTTGATATTAAGCCATTCATATGTATATATGTAAAAGTAAATTATGGAAGCAATATAAATGAGTATGTGTATATATATATATATATATATTTATTTATTTATTTCTGAATGTTGGAAAATGTTGATTTCATTCACACTGAACAAACAGAAAATTGGGTTTGTTCGATAGATTTTTGTTCCATCCTATTAAATAAATATGCATGTTCAATTTATCTCTACTGTACTGGGAATTGTTTATGTTTATAATTTTTTTTTTCATCGCAAATAGTCAAATAAGCAATCCGCAAATGTGTAACTCTATCATATTTTCCTTAATACAATTAGCTAATGCTGATGGTCAAAACTCGCAGATATCAAACCTGCAAATCTTGAAGGTTTACTATATTTTGGAAACGGCTTCTCCTGAGATTTGGAATGAAATGAATTCTCAAATGAAAAATTATGTACCTTGAAATATAGGTAATCGTGTAAGCATTAAAAATGGCGAGAAAGCCTATACTTCCTTTCCTTGGGGGACATTTTTTCTTAAAAACATCTAATAAGTTATTAATTTGGAATAGCATCATGTTTCTATTTGAAAAAAAGGTTCAATAAAGTCCATTTTAAATAACCCAGTAATAGAGACAATGGAAAACATCCATCTAAGTTATATGTATTTATTTTAAATTTACTTAAAAAAATTAGGATAAATGTTTCTAACATGCTGTATAAAATTAAAAAGATGGATGGAAGACCATTAAGTTTTAAATTTCCTCTGATTATGGGTGAATAATCCGAAACTAAAGACAAAATAAAATAAATATATGAGAAGGAGTTAGTCGAGGGTGCGGTCAAATAAATAAAAAATTAAAATATATTAATTATTTTAATTTTTGCCGACGTTTCGACCCACTTTGCAGGTCGTCTTCAGGGCTACAAAAGATACAAAACATGTTGAAAATAAAAAATAAATATAAGTATATATAAAATAAGAAGAAGTTGTCAGATACAGAAATAAAAGATGGTATCAGAGATATAGTGGGTGACAATGTAGTTAAATATTAAGAATTATATATGTAGAAGATACAAATAAATGGAAAATAAGTAGGAATAAAAATAAATATTTTAAATATGGAAAGTAAGTAGGAATAAAAATAAATATTTTTATTCCTACTTATTTTTCATTTATTTGTATCTTCTACATATATAATTCTTAATATTTAACTAAATTGTCACCCACTATATCTCTGATACCATCTTTTATTTCTGTATCTGACAACTTCTTCTTATTTTATATATACTTATATTTATTTTTTATTTTCAACATGTTTTGTATCTTTTGTAGCCCTGAAGACGACCTGCAAAGTGGGTCGAAACGTCGGACAAAAATCTAAAATAATTAATATATTTTAATTTTTTATTTATTTGACCGCACCCTCGACTAACTCCTTCTCATATTATATCAACGGTCAACCATCTCTACATCATTAAAATAAATATAATTATATGGAAGAGTAAGTTTTCATAATATACAAACCTAGTTAAAATTATTCTTTTTATCATTACAAAGTTAGTTTGAGAGTGGATTCATAGTGAAAAACACAAATGAAAACAAACAAATTTATTAACAAGTTTATTTTAGTTTTCCACTATGACTACAACTCCTTCAACTTATTTTCCAATCGTATCATCAAGAACCTATTTCTCTACTATTAGTCTTCTTTATTACTATTAATAATTAAACGTAAACAAATTTGTGCTAGCAGTTTGACTATTAACCTATAAATATGCCCTTAAATAGAAAAAGGTTTGGTACTCCTTATGTAAACAATAGTCCAACTCTACACAGAAAAGAAACAAAAAAAAATTAATTTTGTATTTTTATAGCAAGTCATGTTTTTTAGGTTTGTTGCTTTATTATATAGATACATTCTTTTCAGCGAGCTAAAACACAGCTTCAATCGATGATCCTTATGAATCTAGAATCTAGGCCAGTGATGTTTGAAGATATCGCTAGGCAAGTTCTCGCTATTGGACACCGTAAATTGCCAGCCACTTTCATTCAAGAAATAGGTGAGTTCATCAGTGTTATATTAGGACCTTGAATAAGTTCTCAATTTTTTTTTTTTTTTTTGTGAAAATTAATGCTTTATTTAAAGTATGTGGTAAAAAAAAAAAACTATCTAATCAAGGTATTGCCCATCACTATCCACTACTTTCTTTTATATTTTTGGCTGTGTCGAAATAATGACTCGTCTTCTAAGGTTATCCAAAATTCTACCCATTTCTTGGTATTTTCATAAGATTTGAAGTGCTGCTCAGCCTGGCGGCCCTGTGCTGTCTTAGGAATGATGCAAAAGCATTGACATTGGGTGAGTGGTGTATGAGTCGAAGTTCTTGGCAAAACCTTTTAGTATCATATTGTGACTGCCGATGAAAAATTAATACAGTACGATGATCCTAAGTTTAAAAATCTGGTGCGGTGCGCGCATCAAACAACTTTCATTTACCACCATCTTTTTTAGCAGAAATAAGTATTTTCAGACAAAGTGAAGAGAAAGTAAAAAATTATAGACTCTATATTTATTTATATTTCATTGTGGGTATTTTTATTTGTATCGGTACCCTCATATATACAAATTATAATATTTATATCGCTGTAATCTATACAATTAAATATTAAATAATACCAACAATAGCATTCATAAAAATTTCATGATACGTATGGAAGCATGTTCTAATCTTTTGGGCCAGCTTTGGTGTGCTCGTATTCCTTAGGTTCCTCAATTACAACTATTTTCTGTTATGATCTCTTATTTCTACTTTAGTTATTTATCAAATTATTTCATATTTTATATTAAACCATTTTTCATATTATAAATTGATGTGAAATGGTCAATTGTTTCAAATTAAAAAAATTAAAGGTACTTAGAAGGAAGCTAATATTGCAAATTAGCAATTAAAGCCATGTTAGAGAATATCAATAAGAATAATAACCATATTTTATTTAAAACTACTTAATTTTACACTGATATGATGAATTTAATCAAAATCGTTAGAGCGGTTTTCGAGATAATCGTAAAAATGTGTTTAATCCATTATATAAAGTGCCACTTCCGGTTAGCCAATTTTGACGAAAAAGTTACTATAACATCTCTGGCATATAAAAAACTTAAATATACAATTTCACTTCCGTACGACTTTTCGTTTTTTAGTTAGACTCTCTACCCACACACACACGCGCGCACACACACCCACACACACACACACACACACACTTGACTTTGTGGTTGATGTTGATTTTCGAATCTGTTTTCAACGTAAATACATGTTTTGAGGTCCTATGAGTCCAAATAACCCCGTCCGAATAAAGTCCCGAAAAATGATCTCTGTGTGTGTGAAGAGTCTAACTCAAAAACAAAAAGTCGTACAGAAGTGAAATTGCATATTTAAATTTTTTATATGCCAGGGATGTTACAGCAACTTTTTCATCAAAATCGGCTTACTGGAAGTGGCACTTTATATAATGGATTAAACACATTTTTACGATTATCTCGAAAACCGCTTAACGATTTTGATTAAATTCATCATATCAGTGTAAAATTAAGCATTTTTAAATAAAATGTGGTTATTATTCTTATTGATGTTCTCTAACATGGCTTTAATTACTAATTTGCAATATTAGCTTCCTTCTAAGTACCTTTAATTTTTTTAATTTGAAACAATTGACCATTTCACATCAATTTATAATATGAAAAATGGTTTAATATAAAATATGAAATAATTTGATAAATAACTAAAGTAGAAATAAGAGATCATAACAGAAAATAGTTGTAATTGAGGAACCAAAGGAATACTAGCACACCCAAGCTGGCCCGAAAGATTAGAACATGCTTCCATACGTATCATGAAATTTTTATGAATGCTATAGTTGGTATTATTTAATATTTAATTGTGTAGATTACAGCGATATAAATATTAAAATTTGTATATATGAGGGTACTTATACAAATAAAAATACCCACAATGAAATATAAATAAATATAGAGTCTATAATTTTTAATTTCACTCCGCTTTGTCTGAAAATACTTATTTTTGCTAAGAAGAGGGTGCTAAGTGAAAGTTGTGTGATGCGCACACACCATTTTTCATCGCCAGTCACAAAACCATGCTAAAAGGTTTTGAAAAAAACTTCAACTCATACACCATCCACCCAACGTCAATGCTTTTGGATCATTCCTAATGTTTTCAAACGTGTCAAAACAGTTGTGTTAACTTGTAGCAATGATTCTCCAAGTTCAGGTAGCATCTTACTTGTGTCATAAAAAATTTCTTCAATTCTTCGTCTTCAACTTTTTCATTGTGCCAATTTCAGTATCTACAAGTCGTTTCTAACAGAGCATGCTCACTGTAAGTCTCTACAAGAATTGTGTGTTCGCTGCTGATTTCTTTTGAATAAAATTCCCTGAAAATACTCATTACTTAACAAAAACTAACATTTTAAAATTAACATATACTGAAGTCCAAGCATACCGACAGTAGTACTTGGAAAATAGCTTAATTATCTAAAATGAAACATATATAGTACTGGTGCTGCCATCTGTTAAGAAACAGAGAGAACTTATTCAAGATCATAATATTTGATAGTTTTGTTATATCAGATCATCCCATAAGTATGTTTTTAAAAATCTATCTGTGTTTATTTTACTAATCCCTCCTTTATAATTGAATTTTGTTTATTATAGCATCGCATATTCTTCTATTTATCATGTTTTTGTTGAAGAAAGTTAAGTTATTCTGGGCTGAAATTTCAGTTTAAACGAATCTCCCCCAAAACCACTTATGTCATGTTATCCTTTGGGAATTCATTAAAAGAGAAAATGCTGCTTCAGAAATATTATGGATAAAACACCATTATTGAATGACAGTGATTAAGTCCTGGAAAAATACAGAGAATAGAAGCAAAAGAAGGATTTGATCCGAAAAAAGTAAGTTTGTTGGGATATGGAAAGAATGCTTCATCATTAATTATTTGATCTTAACCAAACTATCACTAAAGATCTCTTCTGTGGTCAACTGGATCGATTGAAATGGAAAATTGAGGAAAAATGCCCCATATTTATCTATAGACAAGGAATTTGATTCCACGATGACGATATGAGACTCCATATTGCAAAACAAACACTGCAGAAATTGAATGAGAAATTATTCTTCAACAACCATATTTTCCTGATTTAGTCTTTGGATTATCACTTTTTTTGCAGTCTCCAAAATTCATTAAGTGGCAGGAACATGAATTCAGTCGATGAAGTGAAAAATGAAATTTTGGCTTTCTTTAGTTCAGAACCAAAGGATTTTTTCATAAGAAGGTACACAAAATTTGGTTTCAAGATGGAAAATACATTTTAAATTGAACATGTTTCATTGATTTTATGCGACCTCTTAAATCATGCAATTAAATACTAACATTACTTTTGGCATGACCTGATATTTTACTTATTAAATCTTTAAAGCTATATTGTTCATTTTATTTTATTTTATTTTGGTAATTGTAGAGAATGTCAGCAAGGGAGATATTGAGCGAGTGGCCAACAGGCTCTTGAAAAGTCAGCCTTCAGTTGCTGCGAGGGGAGATGTGAAAAAACTGCCTTCTCTATCCGATATCCAGGCGGCGTTGACCGATAAGGAAAAGGGATCATTCAGGAAAGGGAGGATTTCTCTGTTTACTTAAAAGGACAGTCATTACTTTAATATTTAGGAAAATAAATGTGTTAAAGCCTTGTTAATCGAATTTGTGTTTATGTATATATCCTGTTTAATAAATAGACGAGAATTAGTAGTTTTTTATAACCATCATATTTTATTTTAATTTAATATTAGTTTTAAATTTTGTTAAACAAATTTTAAATTTAATAGGATCGATTAATTTTTAGTTGTCAAGGAATAATTGATTATGTATGAATATGATAATAAATTTATAAATATCTCTTGTATCTGTACAAATGTTGATTTTTAATAAGTATTTAATTCAGTCATTTTTAAAAACCATATATTTTAATTGTCTTGAAATACAGCCTGCTTCAGGACGGCAACTAATAAAAGATATACTTCAAATGCATCTGCTGGATCACTTGGTTATTATTAATCTAAAGGTGACGATTCTTGTTCCTATATGCCATTTTTAATACTATTCCTAACTCGTAAGTTGATATACTGATGCCATTAACCTTTTAGCGATGATGATCTTGAGAATGGCACAAGCCAACACTTCTCCATGCGGTTTATAACATAATACTTTTCATCAACTTTACTGGCCATTTCAGCATTTTTAGGGAATACTTCCAAACTTCTTACTTTGTTTTTTATTTAGCTTGAAATGTATTTTTACATGACCCGCTATATAATTTTTCACAATATTTCTCACTTCTTATTCAGTGCATACGATTTATTATCAGCCATATTTACACCAATTTTTAAAAATTTTTTGTCAACTTAATGACTACTCATCACAATTACGACTTTTCGGCTCGTCGAGCCATTTTCAGGTCTAAAAAAAATTTCATTTACAATCATATATTAACTTTAACATATTTCAAATTATAAAGATTCTTATTATATACCTAAAATACCCATCATGTACCTGTCCTTTTCACTTATGCGAATTGCAAGTGCCTACTCATAATAAAATTCATTATTATTACTCCATTTTTTACTATTAAATGATTCAAATAAGTTAAAATTACCTTGTTTCTGAGTCACCCAAATGTCATCCATCTCATTTCTATTCAGTGACTGGTTATTCTTATAGGAATAGGGGAAGACTATTTATTATAAACATATACAAATATGTTTCCCAATATTATATGTGTATCTATTTTACGTAATATTAGCTAATTTATTTCAAATTTTGATTTTTTCAATTGAACTAGCGTAAAAAGTATTCATATTATCCACATCTGTATGTTTATTTACCGAGTTTTTCATATGTATATTACTTCCTTAATTTTACGTTTATTCGTATTTCTTTCATTATGTAGGATTTTGGCTTTTTTTAAATCAAATTTAAAGTCCAGTAGCTAATTTAATTTTTGTGTTTTTTGAATTACAATTTTGTTTATGCTATTTAAGCCTTTTTTCAAACCATTGGGATGTCTGTCCAAAATATGAATTGTTGTTGCAATTTTTACAATTTATTTTATAAATAATATTCGTTAATTTATTGGTGGGTATTTTATCTTTAGTTTTGGAATAAATTGTATCTATTTTATTAATAGGTTTGATTGCAAATTTAATTCACTGCGGGGTGTGGGAACCAGAAGAGGGTCCGAAAGTCCGAAGACCTCACCCTCCAGACAAGGAAAAGTGGTGCAAGCACACAACTGGCGCCCACAAAGCAGATGAAACCCTATTATACAGAGCTTTCAACCGCTCATCATCACACTGAAATCAGATAGCTGGTTGGACTTTTTTCGACGACCAGCATGACACTGGTAGCTTACAGCAAGCAGCTGCAAATGTATGACTGCCACTGCCAAGCAGTGCAAGCATTCTTGCCATCCACCCAAAGTGCTGTCAGGGCTCCGTTGATGCCCCTTAGTACCAATGTGATCAGATAAAAAATAAAATTTTAATCTGACCTCAGAGCATGATTGGTTACAGGCTCCGCGATCCTTCATAATGAACAATCGCTACGGCTTAACATCAACCACTAATGAACAAAGGAGAGTGTCTTTGCATCGGTGATCTATGAGGAACAACATGAACCTAAGGCTCAAGTCGAGAACCGTTGCCGTGATCTAGAGCCACAGAAAAATTACTGCCTTGTAGAAAGGCTGCGACATAGTTTGAAAGTAGAATTCATTACAGATTACCCCATCATTTATCGAAAAAGAACCGGACTCATGATGTAAGGGGATGTCTCATAAGTTTCTTCCTTTTTTATGATGTGAAATCAAGAGCTGATATATGTTGTTTAGGGTTTATTTACTGTATTACATACACACATAAGTTTCTTCCTTTTTTATGATGCGAAATCAATAGCTGATATATATTGTTTAAGGTTTATTTACTGTGTTGCATACACACCATTCTGCACTATTCCCTTCTTCCATCTCTCAGGAAGCCTCATTATGCCATCTTTCCAAAATTGTTGGGGCTAGGGCCAAACGTTTGAAAAGAACAGTTCTTGATCTCAAACGAATGAACTGTTCTTCCAAACGGATAACAACAGTTGTTTTTCTTTAGTTCACCCGGTTGCTGTTTGATCTGTTTTTTTTCAAACTAAACAAAAGCTCTTTCTGCTTTCCAACGAACCTATTATTCGAGCAGGGGATCCCCAAAAAATTAGTGAATCTAGTTAGGATATGCTTGATGGAAACACTCAATAAAGTTAGAATCGGTTATTATTTATCCAAAAAAATTGAGGTTCGATCTGGCTTAAAACAAGATGATTCTCTTTCATCTGTGCTATTTAATTTGGCATTAGAACATGCCATTAAAAAGATGATACATAATGACAAAGGGTTGAATCTGGATGAAACAATATCCGTGCTTGGGTATGCTGATGATTTGGTACTGTTAAGCGAAGACATGGAAAAAATAAAACTAAATACATCGTTGATGGAAGCTGGTAAAGAACTAGGACTCCAAGTAAATACAGATAAGACAAAATATATGATTAGCTGCAAAAACAGCAACAATTTCGATGATATCGGTATAGAAGGGAATGTGTTTGGAACGAATTTTAGGTTTCTAGGGTTTACGATAACTAGAAAAACCGAAATTGAAGAGGATATTAACGTTAGGTTGAAAGCGGGTTAATTGATAAAAATCCTTGTTATTTTTCTTTCTCAAAATGACTTAGTTCTCGCCTCCTTCCCCGAAACTTAAAAATTAGAATTTACAAAACCATTATCCTACCTACGGCTATTTATATACGAGAAACGTGGCCGCTTACAATAAGGAATGAGCAACGTCTTAAAGTTTTTGAAAATAAAGTATTGCGCAGAATATTCGGACCGAAAAAGGACGAGTCAACAGGAGAATTAAGGCGATTACACAACGCTGAATTGCGTGAACTGTATCCAGTTAATATAATTGGGGCGAATAAAATGGGCATGTAAAATCGCTGGGCTTAGTAACGAAAGAATTCCTACAAAAATTATATGCGCTGTAACGATTGTCAAGCGTCCGAGGGGTAGACCAAAGCGAAGGTGGGCAGATTGCGTTAAGGCTGATTTGGCGGAATTAGGTTTTAGACAAAGCCCGGTGGATGGAAGAATGTGGCCATCGATTAGTGTCGGCAGCGAACCTTTGGGTTCGCTAAGCCTTATTATTATTATAAAAGGGGAGAAGAAAAATGAAATTCTGCGATCACTGTTGAGAAAATCCAAAACCCAAATTGGAGTGCCAGTTGTACCATGGTGGTGTGATAGGGAGTACCAAGAGGAACGTAGGGATTCAGTGACGGAACTCGGCTCCTCACGTTTTTATTTTATTTATTTCAAGAAATCAGTTCTACGTTATATTTTAAAATTTAAAATAACTTTTGATTATTGAAATATTATTTTTTTAAAAATCATATGATACTATAACAATTAATAAAATAAACATGAAAGATTGTTGTTACAGTTACAGTTAACATTTCAAAACTTCATACACAATATTATTGTTAACTTTTATAAATCAACACTTCTGAATACTTCAATCAAGAAAATCATAGACATTATAAATCAAAATTTTCGAGACGTTCAATCAAGACATCATAGACAATGCAGCCAAGAAAACAAAAGTTAATTTTTACAATAAGTATACCCATGTCCAATAAGCACCATCAACATTTCGGCAAGCCTGTGTACGGAGCAATGCGAACCACTGGATCTAGAAACCATGATGGATCGACAAATTATAGCAAAATACCTTCGCTAACAATGATGCCTTTTCAGCCGAAATCGAATTTTTGTAGAATAAGAAAGGAATTCAAACATTTTTCGAGAATAATGATGCATGGAATTGTACCACTCGCCGAAAAAGTGAACCAACGTCAGCTATCGAGGAAACACCCTTATTTACGAAACTGAAATATGATTAAATACATTGTCATGTTTTTATATAATTTTTCAAATAAGTTTTTCTAAATTAACTCAGAGTACTTACACATGGAGAAGTCAGACCAATAAAGAGCTCCTGAAATTCTATAATAAGGAGATAAGTTTAAATTTATTATTTCATCTGTAGTTTGCCATTTCTTAGTTTAAAACTATGCAGAAATTATTTTTTTTTTTTTAATTCCACGTACCTGTAAAAGACACTGCAAAATTTTCTACATTAATGTGAACCTCAGTTTTAATTCTGATGGTAGATCTTTGTAAATGGATTTAATTGACACCAAATTTAACCTTTTATCGCGATAACGATTATTAACTTGATAAAAAAGAAAGAAATTAACTACCTATATGAAATGGTGTTTAAGTGGTTCTAGAAGCCCTATTAAATTTAAATACGCGAACAAGAATACTTTAAGAGATAGTTTTTAATACTTTTTTTCTGTAAAACATGGTTGTATTTTACCATTTTTGGGGAAGGGGGAGACTTCAGGCCGAAAGCCCCCCTGCCCGTAGATCCGCCTGTGACAGGAAGTAGCACTTTATATCACCAATTAAACACATTTTATAGATTTTTTTCACAAATGGCTCTTACGATTTTTGAGGAGGCCAGGGCCCACTAAGGGTTGTAGAGCCATTAAGATAGACAGATTATGCCAATGTAAAATTAGGTGTTTTTTAATCTAAAATAGGTCTTATCCTCATTGATGTTCTCTAACAGAGCTTAAATTCTCATTTTACAAAATTTCTTTCTTTACAGTACCTTTGTGTTAAAAAAAAAAAAAAAAAAAAAAAAAAAAAAAAAAAAAAAAAAAAAAAAAAATTAATCATTTCACATTTCCGAGGGAATGGTAAAGTCACCAAAACGTTGGAAAAAATGTATTGATAGAAGTGGAGACTATTTTGATTAAATAAAACAGTTGTAAATCTTTCTTTTAAAAAAAAAATCCTGCATTTTTTCCTGACAACCC